GGGTGTTCCTGCTATCACTCACCTCACCAGCAAGAGAATCTGCTCCCTCGCCTCCAGCACGACAAGCCTGAACGCAAGATTCTCAACTTATGCTGCTGGAAGTGCAGGACTGCAGCTCTGCAACCGCAAACCCCAACGGAAACCTGGGCTGACTGTGGGGGAAAGATCGAAACAGACTCTCCAGGAACTTTGGCTGCAAGTAGGGGCATTGGTTAGGAGACATGTCAGTGTCTTGCAGGGCTGGGTTGTTAAAATGCTGTTCTCACAGTTCATAATGCCTGCTATGCGTTAGTTGTCTCCCTCTTCTATAATGAGCTACTCACCTAGCTGCAGTAACAGCCCAATATATTTAACCAGTGGAATTTATCGTTCTGTTGTTTTCTATTTCTTTTATTAATCCTACAGTTACCTTCTTTATAGCATGATTGAGTATATACTGTATGACACATCTCATTGCCTGACATATCTAGCAAGCTCCTTGTCAACCCTCACACAGGACAGCCATGTTCGAGGGATTCATATCTTGGTGGATGTGTTCTCTTTGGTTGTTCAATCCAATTTTTTTCTTATGACATATTTAGAAATTATTAATTTCAACCTAGATCGTAGACTCTCGAGACACCTCGCACATATACACTTCTGTATACTCATCTTATATCCACACCTACGCTACTTTGATGTTTTGTACTGAAGTCAAGCATGATTATTATAAAAAATTGTGCAGTCTTAATCTATGCCATATGTATGTTCACTATGAGATGCTGATACTAGATATTGTTGCATTACCAACATGTTTGTACTCTTTATGCACACAAAAATAAAGATTAAAAAAAATATATATATCAGGAAGTATTACTTTACTGAGAGGGTAGTGGATGCATGGAATAGCCTTCCAGCTGAAGTGGTAGAGGTTAACACAGTAAAGGAGTTTAAGCATGCGTGGGATAGGCATAAGGCTATCCTAACTATAAGATAAGGCCAGGGACTAATGAAAGTATTTAGAAAATTGGGCAGACTAGATGGGCCGAATGGTTCTTATCTGCCGTCACATTCTATGTTTCTATAAATGCAGTAATAAAATGCCAATTTATTCACATGTAAAAAAGAAAAACAACATGTCAGAGTAATACTGCATAGAAAAGATTGAAGGACCACTATAATGCCAAGAAAACAAACTCGTTTTCCTGGCACTATAGTATTAATACCCTCATGGCCCCCCCTCCCGCCGGGCTGAAGGTGAAGGAAGGTGTTAAACACTCACCTTTCTCCAGCACCGGGCTCCCTCGGCACTGGGGACTCTCCTCCTCCTTTGGACGTCATCGGCTGAATGTGCATGCGCGGCAAGAGCCGTGCGCACAGTCAGTCCATAGTAAAGCATTCTCAATGCTTTCCTATGGACGCTAGTGTCTTCTCACTGTGAAAATCACAGTGAAAAGCATGGAAGCACCTCTAGCGGCTGTCAATGAGACAGCCACTAGAGGCTGGATTAACCCATATGTAGACATAGCAGTTTCTCTGAAACTGCTATGTTTACAGCAGGCAGGGTTAACCCTAGAGGGACCTGGCACCCAGACCACTTCATTAAGCTGAAGGGGTTTGGGTATCTATAGTGGTCCTTTAAGACAAAGTATTATTATTGCCATTTATATAGCGCCAACAGATTCTGAAAGAATGAAGGCACAATTACTAATATTAAGCACTTAGTTCCAAAACTGCAAAGTGCGTATATATAAATTCACATTAAATTCGAAACAAAAAAAAACCCCCCAAAAAAAACCCCATAATGCTGACCACCAAAGAAATGGCAGGCGCACCAACCAATGTTGTTTGTTTTGTTTTTTCCATAGTTATGATTGTTTTTGCTTTTCTTGTTAGACAATTTTTATTTTAAAAGCAAAGTACATTTACAATGGGCAAGCATAAGGCCAGAGAAAGACACAGTAATGTAACCATCCATTAAGCCAATAGCTTTCTGAGCCAGTATAGGTAATACAACAGTGTATGGAGCTAGAACAGTTAAGAATAATAAAACGACGTAAAATAAAATGAGTAAACGTTTAAAGTAAATACATAAAATTGGCAGCTGCCTCCTTCAAGTCTTTTGGGGCACGAAAGGAGTGATTCCTTCTACCGATCAGGCGGGTCGAACCGTCGATAAAGCCGCCACTGCCGTAGATCCAGTGATCATAGAAAAACAGGAACTTCAGATACGTGTAACAGGTGGTGCGGCTTGCCGGCTCTGTCTGCCGTTAGGTGGTTTGGTCCCCATTTGTAGATAATGGCGTACTCCCTCAGTAATTGGGTGACTTTTTGGAAGGACCTCCGCCATATAAGAGTTTGCCTGGAGAAGTCTCTATAAAATCCCAGCTCTGCCCCCTCGAATGGTACCGTGGGAGAGCCTCTGGCGGCCTCCATGAGGATTCCCCTATCAGAGTCCTGCACTAGCTTGAGTAGCACATCTCGAGCAGTTCCCTGGGTGAGCATTAGTGGCTCTAGGGAGGTAAAAGCAGGATTCAATCACTATCAGCTTTGCTTGCTTAGGTGTCAACAGAGTGGCGATGAGCCTTCATATATATATACTGAAGGAGTTTTGTATTGGCTACGGCTTCAGGTATGCCGTGAATGCGCACTTTGCTTGCCTTGTCCATTTTAGCATGTTCGCAGCGCGCTTATTGACAATTGTGCTAGCCTGGTGTCTTCCACATTTTTCTCCACTGTCACAATACGGCTAGATATGGCGGACACTTCCTCTCTGACCATTGCTGAAGGGGTTTGGAACATAGCTCTGATGTCTAGTATCAATGCCTTTTATGTCAGCCTTGATAGATGGTGCAGAGTCCCCTATCTCTGGAGACACCTGTGCCCCTGTGTGTAACTTTGGGAAAGCTGGCGGTTCTGCAGATAGGCTATCGTCATCAGACATCTGTGAGTAATAGGCCTAAGCCGGCGCCATCTTAGGAAGCTCAGGCAGTGTGGCCATGCGCAGAAAAGTTCCGATATTTTGGGAGCCAGAGCCTGGATCTGCTCGTGCCTTCTTATTTTTCTTCCCCACAGCATAGGATAGTTGGGCTGCTGCTTCAAACCCCAGTAAGGTGGCTTGAGACACTGGGAAATAGACGTTTGCAGAGTGGGAGCACGAAGCTGCCGCTTTGTGCATCTTTCCCTTTCAGGCACTGGCTCAGCCCCCTCCACATATATGGTTTTTAACAATAAAAAGAAAAGACATATTAAGCTGTCAAGGACACAAGAGGTTTACATAAGTTCCATTTAAGATGGTAATGACGGTGGCAGACAGGATGCAAAAGATGCATCCCCTCTCCACCATAGACAATAGAAAGAGTGGCTAGACCAAACCGGGTCATTCTAAATTAATTGTATGGTCATAAAAGAGAATTCAGAGGTTCAACAGGGTAGGCACATAAATAGATTTATTGAAAAAATTAACACAAAATAAAATCTACACTATTTTGGCCAACAGGCGTTAAATCACGTATGGATTACAAAGACCCATTGGAGGTTGAGGTCCTCCACCACAGTGAACCAGGCCGGGCACTGGATCTAAAGGGACACTATAGTCAACAGAACAACTAAAGATTCATGTATTTGTTCTCGTGAGTATAATCATTCCCTTCATGCATTTTGATGCAAACACTGCCTTTTCAGAAAAAAGGCAGTGTTTACATTGCCCCCTAGTAGCCACTCTGGAGGTTACTAGAGGTGCTTCCTGGGGGAGTGCTGCACACTGTGACTGATATTCACTGTCTCCACCCTCTGCATTGAGACATTGAACTTTCCTCATAGAGATGGATTGATTCACTGCATCTCTGTGAGGAGGTGCTGATTGGCAAAAACAATGTTTGGCCCCACCCACATCCCACCTCCTTGACGATTTCAGCCAATTGGATTGGATAAAAAAAAAACGTATATTCTGATGAGGTCACCAAGGAGGTGGATCAGGGTGAGGATAAAAGGGGGGAGGGGGAGAAACAACCTAAATGGTGGTTTTAACACTATAAATTTAGGAATACATGTTTGTGCTCCTGACCTTATAGTGTTCCTTTCATTTTTATTTCTTTAGATTGCCATACCATGTTGTCTTTAAATGTGAAATATATGGTCTTCAGTTCATGAAATGACAACAAAACTATAAAACAGAACTCTGCCTAAAAAAAAAAAGCAAGTACGTCTCATCTCTCAAGTTTGCCACACATTGGCATAATCATGTTAAAAAGCAAAGGGGAAAGGGATACACCTCTCCTGTTTCAAGTGCTAATTGGGAAGTGCTGAGTACCCAGGCAGTATATTCAAGGATATTTGGGATGGTAGATTGTAACTAAGCAAATAAAGGTAAGGAATATAGTATTTCCATGTTGCTATATATTTTTTTGTAATCATTAGTTCGTAATTTCGTAAATTATACACATTCAATCCATCTTAAACAGCATTTATATGTTTACATATTTGTTCAAGATTTCCATCCACTCAGTAGATTGTTCTCAAGTCCTTTATTTCCTCATATTTGCATCGAATGTGTTTGTTGGTTGGTTTGTGGCACTGACCTCGGGAAGAGAGGGTGGTTTTGAGAGAAGGAAGAAACACAGGAAGAGGGAGACAGAGACTTGCCGGGGGGACCATTACAGACACTTGTGTACATTTGTATTTTGTTTTAATCTTTTCTGAGCAGTATTCTATAAAGTGTTTTTCTTCTTCTTGCCAGTTTATCACTGCATTTGGATTTCTTTGTACTGGTATGTCATTCTAGTGTACATAATTTTTTTTTTTTTTACACAAATCTATATAGGGATATATCACTATAGTGTGTACTTACTATCCACTGGGTTGTTTCCTGTTATTTATATTTTGTTTACACCTATTAAATAACTCACCTATATGTATTTTATTTATTTGATATAACTACTGTAGCATTTCCATAGCTGTGGAATAATAAGGTTTATACTGAGGTAGTATGTAGGATATTTTAAAACCAATTACTCATAACCCAGAATTCAGTCAGTTTATGTTTGTGAGAGACATGTATGACTTTTATTTTTGGTTTAAATGATAATCACGTTCAGCATCAAATCAGTAAGAGAATGAAAAATAATGATAAAAAGAAATAAGGCCTTCACTGTGAGAACCACCTCTGGAGTATTCTGCGTAGGAGCGTTTGGGAATCAGATATATCGAAGCTTTCATGGAGATGGTCACGTGCAGCATCCAGTTGATCGCCTGCTGTACAAGTTAGAAAATAAATACTATTAGAATCTGCAATGTTGAGGAGGAGGACGTAACGGTAATAATTTATAGTAAATGTTTGGTGGTTTGCCAATGCAACAATTTTTAAAATTTTGAAGTGGAAACTTCTCTTTTTAGTTTACATCAATACAAAATGACCACCCTACTGCTCATCAAAAAGGGGAAGAGAATTGTGAGCCAATATGGGATTTAAACACATGTAAAATTTCTTATAGACGACCGTACATATAAACACAGTGACACACATTAAGTATAATCATATTAAAACTTTATCTGAATGTAAGTGTACAAGCAGAATGGCTACTCTTTAAATATGAGGACATACGTTTAATTTGAAAGCATCTTATCAGGAAGAATACATTTAATGTTTTTTTCCCCACCTATGTCCTGATAGCGTGTATAATGCAATGCTACACCCTTAAGTTTAGCACATACAAGGAAAGCAAAACATTAATAAACTATTATTTAGCTTAGCTGTACATCTGGGGATTGCCTTCATCTTGTCTGTAGTGGTCCCAGTGTGTTTACTGGGGTAGAGTATAGACATGTGCTCTAACAGTGGATAGTCTTCTCCTGTATCAAAGATTGCCTACAGATTGAAAGCCCACTAATTGGGCCCTCTACCTTTTGTATTATTCTGTTTCAGGGATCAAGTCCTGGGGAAAAAAGTGTGGGAAATCACCCCCCTCCCCCCAAAATAATAATTATACACTAGTATGCATATATAAATGCGTGCACACACACTCACAGAAACACACAAATTATTCATATGTTTAACATTTACAAATGTCCATCCAGCTTCCCTACCTGGAGAGCTGGCGTGGACCTGTCCCTGGGGTCCACTGGGGCTTCAGTGCAGCGGGCGGCAGAGTTCCTGTCAGATGCGGCGAGGGAGCTGTGTTCTTCATCTGCTCCCTCGTACCGCGCGGACTGTCTACTGATGCCGGGAGCCGGAATATGACGTAATTACCCTGTTCTAGCAATTTTACCCTATCTCTATTTATTTTGCAGCTCTATTTTTGCATACAGCCAATTTTCACCATTTAGTGAACCTCTCACTGCTCTAAACACAATTCTCCCTATCGCTTGGTCTTAGCAGCAATAATTAGGTTGAACATCAACCATATAGTTCTTTATTGCTACTTGAGACCATCTTGACGGAGACAGAGCAGACAGTGGCCTTTTATTGTATTTTATTTTGTCACCCATCGATAGACCACATTGTACTTTACTGTATAGGCATGAAATAAAGTTATTAGTATTTTTTGATACATGTGACAACAGTTTCAAGCTGTGGGGCATTAGACCTCCAATACATTAGAAAACTTGGAAGGAAGCTATTTAGCTGCTAAGTATAATTTTGTTCTATTTATGCACACATATCAGCATTGAGTCTCCCCCCAGTTGGGGCTACTCTCCCTTCGTATCAATTACATTATATTCTTAGGGTCCAAGCCCGTAGGTGGAGCCGATACCACTATACTGACCTTGGTCTCTAGTCCAACCAGTTTGGATATAGAGGCAAACCTTCTTTTGCTTTTTATTTAAAATTAAATATGTGACGGAACGCTGGCACTCCGACTGAGTACCTCCGCCAATCGATGCTCCTAGTGCTCGCTGAGGACTCCAAGCACTCCAACCGACACCATCAGCACTGCAGACCCCACTTCCAGCGATGCAACTGCGCCGGGGTCTCTGCTGTTTCCACCCACCCTGGACCCAAGGCCAGGATCCAGCTTCCAGTGGGTGAACCTCTCTTTCCCCAGAGAGCAGGAACAGGAACAAATCAAGCTATTGCAAGAGCTTCCTCTGGGGAGTAAGTGATTATAGCAATCCCCAGAGTGTAGGTATCCCTTCCCCCAAACATGAGCCAAGGCTTAATGCTGGAACAAGACTGATTTACTGGCACACAGAACTCACAATTTATGCAACACAAAACTCCTCCTCTGGGCCAGGCTAGATAATTGAGTTTCTACAATACACAAAGCTCAATTATCTGCTGGCCAGAAACATTACAATTTTTACAGCATTCATAAAACACACAGGGACCCCAAAACATGCAATAACCCCATAAAAAGTATATCCTTGGAACCGGGGGATCTGGGTGAACCACATATCCAAAATTCACCCAGATCCGTTCAGTACTTTGGAAAATACAGTTTAATGCAGATTCTGCAGAACATATACAGGCTAAATGAAAAACAATCACTGTATAATGTGTCCCCTGCTGTATAGTCCAAAACCACTGCACGATGTCTCTGTGCAACAAATACTGGCGAGATGGCACCGTGTTGAAAAGTCCACACAGTGTCTGTGAGTTAAAATGGCTGCCATCCATTGTTCTCACCATGTGCTTCTGATACAGGAAATGGTGGCCACCCAGTAACTCCACAGTATGTCCCCAGATGGTTCTTAAAGGGCCAGCAGCAGCACAACACAAATCCATTATGCCCAAATCATGTCTTTAAAGGGCAATACATCCCAGGGGCCATAGTCACAGGGCAAGAGGCGGGCAAGCAGTCCTCTCCAGGCACAAGTGGCGAAGGGCACTTCGTCACAAAATACAGTAAAGTTTTAAGAGCGATTTTTTTACAGTATACATTAGCCATTTAATCTTCATTGTAGATTTCAGTGCGGTGTAAGTAACAAGGACCTACACCTATAAGTGGAGCGCTCAAACACATATACAGCTTACCAGACGTTATTTCATTCAAAGGTAGAATATAGGGTACATGTTAAGGAAAATACAAAAAATATAATATAGTGCAGATGGTACTTAAAGTGACAATGCAATAGTAGTGATAATATCGTGATAAATTGTACACTCACATTTCAAGGAGCCTGTATATAGAAACACTGGCTCCGTATTGAGGCTTGTGTGCTTATTAAGGTAGCACCACCCTTCTACTTCGATGTGAAGTGACTCTCGAAGACAAAAAGAGGGAGAGCGAACCAATGTGTAGATTGCAATTATAAAAACACGATGGGATGGCACTACCCCTATGAAGATTTTCTAGAGGCTCCAAAAAGTACTTAAGCAGGATCTTCAGTTTCAATCCTAAATGGAGCTTCCTCAGTCAGCTACAGCTACAGCTGACTGAGGAAGCTCCATTTAGGAGTGAAACGCATATTGGCTATTTTTTAAAGGACTTTTTATTAAGGACTTTTAAAACATTTACTTTTATTTTTATTACACATCAATAAATTTGTTATTTTACTGAAGATCCCGCTTAAGTCCTTTTTGGAGCCTCTAGAGAATCTTCATAGGGGTAGTGCCATCCCCATTCAAACTGGCACAGAACCTATACACCTAGAGCCGGGACCCACAGGCTCAGGACCAGGTGAGCACCACATTTACTAACACATCATTATGTTTTTATAATTGCAATCTACACATTGGTTTGCTCTCCCTCTTTTTGTCTTCGAGGGTCACTCCACATCGAAGTAGAAGGGTGGTGCTACCTTAATAAGCACATAAGCCTCAATACAGAGCCAGTGTTTCTATATACAGGCTCCTTGAAATGTGAGTGTACAATTTATCACGATATTATCACTACTATTGCATTGTCACGTTAAGTACCATCTGCACTATATTGTATTTTCCTTAAAGGACCACAATAGTGCCTGGAAAACATACTCGTTTTCCTGGCACTATAGTGCCCTGAGGGTGCCCCCACCCTCAGGGTCCCCCTCCCGCCCAGCTCTGGAAAGGGGAAAAGGGGTTAAACTTACCTTTTTCCAGCGCTGGGCGGAGAGCTCTCTGCCTCCTCTCCTCCTCCGATCCACCCCGTCGGCTGAATGCGCACGCGCGGCAAGAGCTGCGCGCGCATTCAGCTGGTCACATAGGAAAGCATTCTCAATGCTTTCCTATGGACGCTGGCGTGCTCTCACTGTGAAAATCACAGTGAGAAGTACGCAAGCGCCTCTAGTGGCTGTCAATGAGACAGCCACTAGAGGAAATAGGGGAAGGCTTAACCCATTCATAAACATAGCAGTTTCTCTGAAACTGCTATGTTTATGAAAAAATAGGTTAACCCTAGAAGGACCTGGCACCCAGACCACTTCATTAAGCTGAAGTGGTCTGGGTGCCTAGAGTGGTCCTTTAACATGTACCCTATATTCTACCATTGAATGAAATAACGTCTGGTAAGCTGTATATGTGTTTGAGCGCTCCACTTATGGGTGTAGGTCCTTGTTACTTGCTTAGTGGAATAGAGGATATTTTCACACAAGTGTATAGATGTAAATCACTTCTATTGTCTAAGCACTTTGTTATACACACTCCTCTTTAAAAAGAGGTAACCTTTGACTGGTATTCATAGATTTAATCTTCATTACCTAGGATTTTTTTTTTTGTTTAGTTGTTTTTACACTGTATCACTCATTTTATCGTTGTAATCAAACTAATTGGTTTCATTATATGACACAAGAAGTGATCCCTGCAACCCAACCAAGTCCTACCATCTCCAATGAAGCAATCTTTTCGCCTAATTCCCAGTGAGCTAATTTGCTGCTGGATTCTACGTCTACATCTACGTATTTAGAGAGGATATAAAAAGAGCAAGCAATGTCCCAACATATTCCAAACCAGCAGACAGAGCCATCTACTATAAGTCTCACTATGCATCTTTCAGATTCACAGCAAGACTGATATGCGGTGGATTAGAGGCCAGAGTTGTGCTGAAACAGTAAGAAGACAGGGAAATACATACAGACAGCACATATCAAATTAAAAAGGAGGACTTCTTGACTGATTGGTTCAACTTGATGGTCATTATTTAAGTCAAGGTCCCACATTTCCTGCTCTCAACCCCTTCCCCTTTATCCTCCCCCTTTCATACTTCCTTATCCTTTGGAAAGATTGTAAAATTCCATGAAATAAATATATATATTATATATATATATATATATATATATATATATATATATATATTTTTTTTTTTAAATCTTTATACAAGTCAGGCAAGTGTAATAAAGAATATTTAGGGAATAAGCAGTAGAAAAAAACAGTGCCTATTTTACAGCTCTATGAAATCACTAGTAAAACCATACCAGATAAGAAAAATAACCTTTAAATATGGCAAGATAACGGAGATTGCTAGTGTAGAGCATAAACAACAACAGCAAGAAGAATATTGGTTCAAAAAAAGGATTCGTTTAGCCCAACTGGTTCAGAAGTTAAACAAAGGGTTATGAAAAAACAAATCAAAAAGGGAAAAAAGAAAAAGAAAGATCAGGAGGTAGAGACACATGAAAGAGAGAAATAAAAATAAATAAAATAAAATGAGACATTCCCGCTTCAAGAAACATAGACCTCAATTTAAAACAGTAAAAAGGACCATGGGTTCAAAATAAAAAGCTTATAGAGGTCCTTTCACAAAGCCAGTGTAGACATAGAATGTGACGGCAGATAAGAACCATTCGGCCCATGTAGTCTGCCCAATTTTCTAAATACTTTCATTAGTTCCTAGTCTTATCTTATAGTTAGGATAGCCTTATGCCTATCCCACGCATGCTTAAACTCCTTCACTGTGTTAACCTCTACCACTTCAGCTGGAAGGCTATTCCATGCATCCACTACCCTCTCAGTAAAGTAATACTTCCTGATATTATTTTTAAACCTTTGTCCCTCTAATTTAAGACTATGTCCTCTTGTTGTGGTAGTTTTTCTTCTTTTAAATATAGTCTCCTCCTTTACTGTGTTGATTCCCTATAGAAACATAGACCTTTAGCATAGATTGGGGCAGCCCAAGGGCAACTCCGCCAAGGGACGTGGTGTGCAGGCTCCACTACTTTGACTGTAAGAACAAAATACTAGAGGCCCTGAGACACTCCCAACAACTGCTCCTATACCGGGGCGCACCTATAGCTATATACCCAGATCTGTCTTGGATGACACTGCAGGCACGCAGGGCGTTGAAACCCATCACGGATCAACTGCGGGTCAGAAATCTCAGATATTGCTGGGGCTTCCCCTTTGCGCTAACCGCCACATACCATGGGGCTTCACACACCATCTCAGGCCCACAGGATGTGCCGGTATTCATAAGAGCACTGGACTTACCGGAGACTCGTATCCCCGACAGGTATGGCCCCATCCCACCACCGAATGCCCCCAGAGGCAGCAGACCCCAAAGAAGAGACGAATGGGAAGCCCCCACCTCCCCCCCAACCCCCATATACCCACCGCCCTTCTCCTATCTCCTCCATACCCTTGCCTCTCCTTTCATCTGCCCCGGCCTCTATCTCCTAAACACACATCCTGAATCTATATCCTCATCCTTGAGCCATTTCTGAACAGGATTCGGGCAAACCCACTCATTCGTGGCATTACTGTGCAACAAGCGGAATATAAAATATCGGCATTTGCCGATGATCTTCCATTTACTATTCGAGCACCCGAATTGTCACTACCTCCCCTGATGGAGGAAATAGCCCTTTACAACACACTCTCAAACTTCCAGGTCAACAAGAGCGAAATACTACCACTGAGAATGACCCCGCAGACACGTACTCGCCTAACGTCAACATTCCCCTTCAAGTGGGCAGACAGATCCATCGTATACCTGGGTGTGCACCCGTTGGCTAACCTACCGTCTATATCCGACTTGAACTACGAACCCTTATTTCACTATCTCCAAAGACCTGCAGGTCTGGCAAAAAACACACTTTTCTTGGCTTTGTAACATAAACATCCTTAAAAGGACCACTACAGGCACCCAGACCACTTCAGCTTAATGAAGTGGTCTGGGTGCCAGGTCCAGCTAGGGTTAACCCTTTTTTTTTTTTTATATAAACATAGCAGTTTCAGAGAAACTTCTATGTTTATAAATAGGTTAATCCAGCCTCCAGTGGCTGTCTCTTGACAGCCGCTAGAGGCGCTTGCGTGCTTCTCACTGTGAAAAATCACAGTTAGAAGACGCAAGCGTCCATAGGAAAGCATTATGAATGCTTTCCTATGAGACCGGCTGAATGTGCGCGCTGCTCCTGCCGCGCATGCGCATTCGGCCGAAGAGGAGGAGAGGAGGCGGAGAGCTCCCCGCCCGGCGCTGGGGAAAGAGGTAAGTTTAACCCCTTCATCTCCCCAGAGCCCAGCGGGAGGGGGTCCCTGAGGGTGGGGGCACCCTCAGGGCACTATAGTGCCAGGAAAACGAGTATGTTTTCCTGGCACTATAGTGGTCCTTTAAGATGACTACTTTAGGGAAAACCCTACCTATAGCCAAACCCAAATCATTTTTTGCCAAGCTTAAACGTCTCTTCACCCCTTTCATCTGGGCGCATAAGCAGCCCAGGATCTCATACGAGGTGCTAACCAGACACAAGTCCTGGGGAGGTTTAGGCTTACCACATGTGGAGCGCTATTACCATGCTACAATGCTAACAAGAGTATATGAATTGGCCCAAAGACCACCGATCCACCAATGGACACAATTAGAGGTCGCTCTACTCAAAGTCCAAATACACACAACCCCATGTCAAAAGGCACATCCGTCGCAACTGCTCCGGGACCAGGACACACATCCTACGCTAACACCTGCACTCCAGACATGGGATAGAATAACTGAAAACCCCAAGATCTCCCCTCACCCGTACCCCCTATACCCGATAACACAAAACCCCCTTTTTATACCGGGATTACATCCCACCAACAACCGCAGCTTCCAAGAGGTGTACAACCAGACATACCTCACTCTAGGATGCATACTAGAGGGCAACGCGATAGGCCCACTACCCAGCCTCACGAACTCTGACACCCCAACCACACTGCAGATTTTCCACCATGCACAACTAAACCACTTCCTACACACAGACACTCGTCTTACGAAAGGATCTCGTCCCTTTTCCGACTTCGAACCCAGATGCAACGCCAGTAACGTTAAAACAAAACAACTCTCGGCCTTTTACAACTTCCTCCAGTTAGAACAAACAGTTCACCATCCCAAATTCACAGCCGCGTGGTCTGAAGACCTCAACACACAATTCACACCGGCCCAATGGAAATCTATATTCACCAAGATACATAGGACATCTATCTGTAACACGATACAAGAAAGCGGCTATAAGCGAATCGCTAGATGGCACTACTCTCCATCCAAATTACATGCCCTGTTCCCCAATCCATGGATGTCTGCTGGAAATGTGCACAATCAGGGGCGTCCCTAGTCCCCCTTTGGTGGCACTGCCCTCAAACTCAGGGATACTGGACAAACATAACAAAAATGATTAAGACAATAAAGGGAATACAACTCCCTTATACCCCCACACACACTGCTGTTCCTATTGCTACCCCACACCATCGCCAAGACACAGACTTCTGACCCACCTCCTCACAGCGGCCAACCATCTTACTCCAGTAAAGTGGAAAAACCCAACTATCCTGACGATCAGGGAATGATTACCAGAGTAGACGCACTTCCGGTAATGGAAAAAATACAAGCCTCAGTGTCCAACAAAATGGCTCTCTTCAAAGAAGTATGGGAGCCCTGGACGAAATTAATGTCCAAACCCAGCAAGGATAATTAACACCATCACCAGGACTCCCTACACCATCCCTCAGACTAGTCGAGTTATTGACGGCCAACCTTACTGACACACCACCCAATTCCTCTTCGGTGTCTTAGACACCCAACCCCCCCCACCCCTCCTTTCTCCTTTGTATACACCAGGTGCTAGGAATTGCATACACAAATCGGAAGACCAGTTACAGCTGTCTGCCAACCCCGAGCCAACATAGAGCGAAACTAGCCATACACGACGGATCACCAATGACCCTCAGGTTCCTCACAACCATAAAGTGTACTGACACACACGGCCTCACCCCAAACTGCCCCCTCCTGTCCAGGAACATGGAGCACAAGAGATCCCTTTAGCTCAATGTCTATACTACAACCTTTCCCGAACAGGTGGAAATATCTGACCGCTGCCAGGGGGAAATCTCCCGAGAGCGCACTCAAGAAATGCACCAAAGTCATACCACGGAGAAAATCAATGTTATGCGAAATAGAAGAGACTGATGAGGGGAAGAGTTGTAATTTATGACCTTAATCTGAAATTTGCATAGAATTAAATATAGAGGGCTTTGAAAATGTGAGGGAGGTACTACTTCAGAGGTCAGGAAACAAAAGACTGGACTCCAAATAAACCTAGCGCCTACAATCGATCCGATAATGCCAGACCTGAACTTGAGACAACAGCGCTGCAATATAGTAAGAAATGAAGATAGGTAATCTCAACTCCCCTCATAGTTTAGGACAATAGATAACTGCCTTAGAGACCCTGCGCCTATATCCCTGTCATACAAAATTATCAATAGCTGGCTGAATAGATTTGAAATCAATGATACATAATGGAACCAGAGTCTGAAATAAATATAATAGTTTAGGGAGAAGGTTCACCATCACGCTATGCACTCTACTCATGTTTCCAAATCCCTCTTTAATAAAAAAAAGTTTGCAGAGTAAATCGGCACAGGAACAGAAGTAATATGAATACATACATAGGGTATGGCAAAGTAGGTGATTTAGTAAAGTTCAGACAAACGTTGGGATAGAATAACAAGGACATGAATAGCAAGCACAACTGATCTATGCAGATTAACTACACAACGTGTCAGTGATGAAAATTTGTTTAAAATGTCAAATAATGTGAGATGGGATGTATCTAGTCGAGTATGGGTAAAAACACTTCATCAGCATAGACAGAGAGTTTATATCCAGTGTTTGCCAAAGTAATACCAGAAAAGAGAGCCAGGCTTATCTTGTTGGTTAGGGGTTCTTAAGAAAGGGCAAGTAAAAATGTAAATAAAGGACTTCCCTGAATAACGTGAATAGGTCACAAAGGAGAACCAAGAATTACCAATTTTTTGCTCTTGGATAATTAGACAAAGCTGTAATAAAAGGGGAATGGAATTGTAAGTGTTGGAGCAGGACAAAAACAACTTGCCTTACACACACAAAGACAGATACACACACAGTCAGATACACAGACACAAACACAGACAGATACACAGACAGATACACAGACACACACAGATAGATACACAGACACACACAGATAGATACACAGACACACACACAGACACACAGATAGATACACACACAGATACACACACAGATAGATCCACAGATACACACACAGATAGATCCACAGACACACACACAAACAGATAGATCCACAGACACACACACAAACACAGATAGATCCACAGACACACACACAAACACAGATAGATCCACAGACACACACACAAACACAGATAGATCCACAGACACAAACACAGATAGATCCACAGACACAAACACAGATAGATCCACAGACACACACAGATAGATCCACAGACACACACAGATAGATCCACAGACACACACAGATAGATCCACAGACACACACAGATAGATCCACAGACACAAACACAGATAGATCCACAGACAGATACACACACTGATAGATACACAGACACACACAGAGATACACACCGAGATACACAGACACACACACAGAGATACACACACAGATACACAGAAACACACAGATACACACTGATAGATACAGACACACACACAGATACACACATACACACACAGATACACACACTGATACACAGACACAAACAGATGCACACAAAGACAGATAAACACACTGATAGATACACAGATACACACACAGACAGATACACACACTGATAGATACACACACTGATAGATACACAGACAAAACACAGATACACACACTGATATTTACACAGACACATACACAGACAGATACACACACACAAACAGAGACACAGATAGATATACAGACACAAAAACAGATACAAACACACACACACTGATAGATACACAGACACAAACACAGATACACACACTGATAGATACACAGACACACACACTGATAGATACACAGACACACACACTGATAGATACACAGACACACACACTGATAGATACACAGACACAGATACACACACTGACACCCAGATACAAACAAACACAAAGATACACACACTGATAGATACACAGACACACACACTCAGGTACACACTGACACACATATACAAACACTCACACTGACATATACACACACAAACACTCTGGTACACATAGATACATACACACTGACACTTTTTTAAAACCACCCTCCTGTTTCTTACCTTTTGGCTGCAGGAGGGTGGACTCTGCTGGCTGGGGCTGATGGGAGTCTGGCTCTCTCTCCTCCTCTCACTCCCCAGTGCTTCCTCCCGTGCGGTGTTAACTGGGAGGAAGTGAGCTCACTTAAAGGGGCCCAGTCTAGCTATTGGAAATCCACAGCACTGATCGGGCCCCTTTAGAGATTTGCCCTAAGTGCATGGACCACCCGATGGGCTCCCTCAGGTAGTTCTGCCACTGCCAAAACACATATATATAGCAATACTTGAGATATACATACATACATATATATATATATATATATATATATATATATATATATATATATATATATATATATACACACACACACACACACACACACACATACATATACATATATACATACATACATATATATATATATATATACACATGTTTGAAGGCAGGGCCTGAATTTGTGGGAGGGGCAATAGACCTACTTAAAAAGGGGACTCCCCCCTTCCCTCACTTACCTGCGTTGGTCCAGACGAACAGCCTTGTCTCGCAGGCCTCCGTCGCTCCCGACTTCCGGGTCGAAATTGTCATTTCCGGTGAGACGCGGCGCCCTCTTCTGACGTCACGCGCCAACTTCCGGCGGCTCCACCGGCTCCCGAACGGAGGTCTCGGCTACCCTCCTCGCCTACCACTGGTCCGGGCGGTAAGAGGAGCTCCCACACACAGAACAGAGACTCCATTACTACCTAGGAGTCTCTGTTTTCGGCACCAGGGAGGAATCTTTTTCGAAGGGAAGGGGAGGGGAGGGGGGGGGGTGGAAGGGGGAAGTGGTATGGCTCTCACAAGCCACAAACAGACCCCTATAACGTTAGGGGACCCTGTTTCCCACCAACTACACACTTGGGAAGGGGGGGGGTGCACCTGGCTTAAAGGGGGTCATTTCTTTGCTGCTGGTTGACCCTTAGTTCAGCCAGCCTCCACCATTCATTATGCATATACCCTCTGGTCATTATGGTTACAATGGTTATTTATGTCTAATTAATAGCAATTATTTTTAAGTACTGTTATACATAAACAGCTGTGTTTTTACACTTATACTGCTAAATAAGATGCTGGTTGTATTAACCTCACACAATTTTTTTTTGTTTTTTTTGTTATTATATATATATAAGGTATGACTTGCTTGTTAAAATGTGATACATGCATATATGTTTACTTATTGCTGGTTAACATATGTTAAGAATGTTCTGCAAGTATTGGTAACGTTAAATCTTAACTAACATCATATACATTGGGGGGGGGGGGTGGTAATACGCGGCAACCCCCCCCCAGGACTCTTACTACGCCATATTTATATATGTTCCACTTAAGGGTTCATTATCTTAATTCTCATACCCCCAGGAATCCGCATACCTCGGACGGGTCACCTAAACTAACCACCCCCCTACTCAAGAGACACCTGAATTCTCTTACAGAACCAGTGCTCAATTTTCTGCAGGTATGTCGGTTACACGCTTCTTTTTCTACAACGCCACGTTAGTTAATTCCCTGCCCCTTAATCATAGAGGTCCGCGAGGCCAACTCCCATCCTCCACTTCGAGGTACTTTACGCCCCTCGGGCCAAATCATAGTTAGCCGCCTCGCAATTATACAGAGAGGGCGACACCTGTCACTACCAAACCCCCCTCTCCCCCTCCCCCCCTTTTTCTTCCTCCATACTTACCCTTGGAGAGGCAAACATCCCGGTTCACTGGGCAGGCTACCATACCCCTCGCGCCAACTCATAGATAGAGCCTCTCTAGCCACTTGGCACTAGTAGGGCCTCACCTGCCACAAAACCTAGAGTTAAGTTTTTCGCCATCTGGCACTAACTAGCTACCGGCTATTCCAACGAGCCTCCAACTATGCCTGTTATTACTTTCAGTATGTCCCTGCTCCCAGACGATGGCGACGACATGTCAGTCCCTAGCACCCCGGCTAGGTCACTTACCCCGACACGTAAGGACGACATAGGAAGTCCCTCGTCCATCAGATCGTGGACTATCCCTCGCATCACGGCGGAATTACGCAAACGCAGTATCCCTTTCCCGGCCACGGCCAGGAAAGCAGAACTGTTTAAACTGTTAAAACAAACACCCTTATGACAGACGCGGGGGAAGGCACTAGTAACTCCCAAGACCCGACTCTCCATGCTATGGTTGCCTCCCTAATCTCTTCTATGGGAAAGGTCAACGACAGACTGGAAAGGCTGGAGGCACGCAGCTCCGCCATAGAGCCACCTGTGCCTCTCGCTGGTACAGCCCCGGTCATATCCACAGCAACAGCGGGTAATCCTATACCTAACAAGACAGCGGCACATGTTATTAACCCTGCCCACATGGTTCCGGCCAATCTTAAAAAAGACATCCTGGAGGGCAAGGACGTAAACTTGGTCTCTTTGCTCATTGCCTCCCAGGATGTAGTGGAAAACCGCTCTTACGACTACGGGGACATCTCTGTTGTTTTAAAAGCCAGAGACCCCAGACTCAGTAAGAAATTGACCATTCCCGATTTTGTCCTGTCTTTTGGTATCTATAGGGACATCCTGTGCTCAGTTCATCCACACAGGAGAGAGGAACTGGACTTATATATGCATAAACTGGTGGACCTGGGTAACAAATATGGTGGTTACACTTTTTCTGACTATCACAAGTCTTTTTCATCTAAAGTGTCAGCCACATTGTCCCAGTATGGCATCCAGATGGATTGGAGCCAACTGGACAATGAATTGTTCCTCAGACACTTTGCGGGGCTCAGGACACCAGCTTGTGCCATATGTACGTCACCCGCTCACACAGCTTATTTGTGCCCCCTCTGCCCGGACAACGCTCCCAGCACGTCCCTACAGCACCCCCTTAAAACTGAGAAACAGACCAGAGACAAATTGGGTCGTCCGGTTGTGTACCTAGGCAAATCACAAATTTGCAATAACTTCAATGAAGGCTCCTGTGGTTACAGCGCTTGCCGCTTATTACATGTATGCTCACACTGTTTTCGGGCACATGCGAGATCCATGTGCACAAATAAAATGTTCCAGAAACCTTATTTGTCTCCAGTGAACGTTCCTGTACTTGAACACATGCTGTCCACTCACCCCTCTAAACACCTGGTGGAATTTTTATGCACAGGTCTCACCCACGGGTTTCACACGGGGCTCATTTACATGCCAACAGGAGTGTTAGAATGTCACAATTTGCAGTCAGCCTCTAATAACCCTACCGCAGTCACTAACTTGCTACAACTGGAAGTGGACCAGGGATTTGTCATCGGTCCTTTTGGTAATCCCCCCTTTTCCAGCTGGAGAACTAACCCTATCGGGCTGGTCGCAAGTAAAAATTCAGACAAACAAAGGCTCATCATTGACCTATCCGCTCCCCACTCTTCAGCCATCCCCAGCCTAAACTCATTGATTCCTTCGGAAGAATTTTCCTTACAGTACGCCACTATTGACCACGCTATTGCAGCTATCAGGTCAGCGGGGGTGGGGGCCTGGCTCAGCAAGACGGATATAGTCAATGCTTTTAAACTATTACCTATACACCCCTCGTTATGGTACCTACACGGAGTTAAGTGGCAAGAAGCCTACTACTTTTTTACAAAACTCACTTTTGGAGCCAAGAGTAGTCCAAGGATCTTTGACACGTTCGCTGAGGCTTTGTGTTGGCTCCTCCTTAATACCAGTAGGTGCCAAAATGTGATACACTATCTGGATGATTTTCTGTTCATCGAAGCAAACACCAACCCCCCGTGTAGCCTACACAAAGCTGTCAAACTATTCACCGCACTCGGCGTCCCCGTATCACCCACCAAGACAGAAGGTCCAGACACAGTCATCAACTTCCTAGGTATTCTGCTCGATTCAGCAGCTATGATGGCCAGCCTCCCTAGAGCTAAGATTGATAACATTCTACACGACATTAACCACTACATGCACAGGGGCTCATGCAACCGTAAAGAACTACAATCTCTGTTGGGTTCACTAAATTTCGCCATGCGCATAATCCCCCAGGGCAGGGCTTTCATTTCCAGGCTCCTTGCCCTGTTCCCCACCTTCACCAACGACTATGCCCGCATATCTTTGAACGGCCCTGCGACTGCCGACCTTCAGATGTGGTACAGATTCCTCTCTGACTGGAATGGTAGGAGCATGTTCCTTCCACAGCTGGATTCTCAGTCACCTGTCATTTGGACAGATGCAGCATCATCCGCGGGATATGCGGCCATTTTTGGCACAAATTGGCTCTGGGGGACGTGGCCAACAGAAACACAGGGCATCGAGGGGTTTCACACTAATTCTGCCCTTTTTGAGGTATACCCAATAGTTGCCGCAGCTGTCACTTGGTGTAGGTTGTGGGAAGGTCAGTCAGTACGCTGTTTCTCTGACAACATGGCAATATGCCACATTATCAACAAAAGTCGCTCTTCCTCCTTGATAATTATGAATTTCATTAGGAAACTGACTTGGCTGGCAGCCACCCATCACTTCCACATTGTATGCTCCCATGTTCCCGGCATATACAATATGGCAGCTGACCAGCTATCTCGCTTTCAATTTCAGGCTTTCAGACGGTCCCTACCCTCGGCAGCTCGTATGGCAACCCCAGCGCCAACCTTCCAAGACCTTGTCATGGAATAGATGAACTACTTCATCACAGCCTCACTCTCACAAAATTTGCTTTGTCCACTAGCACTCAACACTCATATAACAGAGCATTTCACCTATATAAACAATTCATGACTGACCATCACCTAACCAACTGGTTCGAAGTATCATCACTAATGGCTTTTGCATCCTTTTGCCACCTTAAGTTAAAATTCACACATAACACCATTAAGCTTTATCTCACGGGGATACAACACCACATGTACTACTCACTCCCTAACCACAAAGGGTTCTTAACCTCATACCCCATCCGCACGCTACTGAAAGGTATAGCAAAGGCAGACGGTCCAGCTACGCCCAAAAGATTGGCTATTGACATAGGAATGTTCAAATCCCTGTCCAAACTACTCGACCAAGCACCTTTTGAACCCAATACAAACGCGGTTATTAAAGCCGCCATGTATCTGGCCTTTTACGGATTTCTTAGACCACGGGAATTCACCGTTAGTGGCCAACTGCATAACCAAGGGTGCCTCCTCACGTCACATCTCACGAAACACACAGACTACTACGTCCTGTCTCTACCTAAGACTAAGACAAGTCAGAGGGGGGAACCAGTTCACATTAACTACTACCCCACGGGTAACAATTGGTGCCCAGTAAAAGCACTAGACGTTTTTTTAACCACAAAACAAACACAGCCCACTAGGCCTCTACTAATGCTGCACGATACCATTCTCACCACGTCAAAATTCATGCTTTACGTTCGAATGCTTATCACCAGGCTTGGTCTGAACCCTAGTAGCTACTCGGGGCACTCCTTCAGAATTGGTGCGGCCTCCACAGCCTCTAGCCAAAATGTTCCCGTGCATGTCATTAAAACACTGGGTCGATGGAAGTCCTCAGCTTACGCTACCTACATTCCGCACCCAGTCCAAGAGCTTAGGAGGGCTTTCATTAATATGTCTACTTAATAATGTATTTGTATTTTTCTTTGTATTTATGTTACCGAATAAATGTTTATCTTGCTTTATCTTTTGCCCACTTTATTTACCGGCCTACAGCATACGTCGGTTTTCGGCACACCTCAACCGACTTTTTCCTTTTTATTGTATTACTCTCCACCAGAGTATTCCATATCATATGAGAATGCCCCGAACACAAATATATATATATATATATATATATATATATATATATATATATATATATATATATATATACACACACATACACATATACATACATACATACATACATACACATACACATATATATATACACATTGGGAATAGGGGCCTGGGTGCATGGGCCCCCCAGGACCGCAGGGCCCATGCATCTTCCACAGCAGTTGAGTTTTAGTCATAGAATTCTACAGCAGTTCTCAAAAAAAAAAAAAAAATAGATCACTACTGTTTTGTCAGTTGTTTGGGCATGACCTAGACATAATTCTGTCTTGGATAGTTGGAAAAAGTAAAAATATAACTTTACTTTCAATCATTTTGATTTCATGGTTGTAATCTAAGTGAAAATTAATTTATGGTCCTGATGGACCTTGGAAAACAGGGCTCCAGTAGGAAGGCCTTATTTATAAGCTAGACTAGTATTTGTATGTTCCACCTGATGGGAAAGAGGAGGACACATGGTGAAATGTTTCCATGGATTACAGTCAGGAAAAGAAAATGATAAAAATAAATAATAATTTGAAGGAACAGAAGATGTCAGAAGTGGCCCAAGTGGCACAGTCAGGAGAAGAGTGCATGACCCACAACATGTTTAGAATGTGGAATGGTAAGTAAAGCAGAACAGACATGATTGTAACCTGGGTGGGGACAAGATATAGAAAGAATTAAGTGTTATTTGGTTTAGTTCTTTTAATACATAAAAACGTATTTAAAAAGAGAGGGCGAGAAATAGTATTAAAAATGACTGTTACTGTTTTTAAAAGGATTAACTGTAACCCTCAATAAACGAAAGCATCGAAACCAGAGTGACACTTACCTTAAGAATTCATAAAAGATAACACACGGTATATACATACTGGTAGCGCTAACAATTAATACAACATACTAGATCAAGCAATAAATAGAGCAGACAGAATATTTCCATCCCTCCACACATTAAAGCTTGCTCATAGTACAAAGTAAAGGGAAAATATATACAACCATGAATTTAAATAATATATTACAGGGACTGGCTATTCCTATCGCCTAGAACTGCTTGTCAGGCAGTGTTTTGTGGGCACTCTATGCTGACACAGGCAAGTGGAAGGGCTGCCATGGGGAGAACAAGATCCGACCAAAACGCTTGTGGTCTGGCCACAGTGATTACTCCGTCGCTCACTACAGTCAGAACGCCGGAAATGGCAGAAGGCATGCAGAAGCCAGGTCTGGAATAATGGTTGTAGATATGGATAATGTCTGAATCACTGCCAATAGAGCGACTTACCACCTGTGTCCTCCCAGCCCTGGAATTCCTAATCCAGGAAGGAGTTTTGCTAGTGATTTGGACAGAGTGGTAACAAAATATATCTGCTTTCTGGCTCAGTGCTGCACAGTAGGCAGCAGTGCCATTCAGCATCTCCACGCTCTGGATGGGGACGCTGAATTTTCCTCATAGAGATGGAGAGCAAAAAATAAAAAAAGGGCGCATGAGTATACTGAGAACGGGCAACAGCTGAAATAGCCTGCCCTTCGGTGGGTCCCCGCTCAGAACTCAAGCTGGTTTTAGCTCATCTTGTGCCATTACAGAGAGAACATCTCTGAAACATATCAGACTGGTCCCACCCATACGGGCAGTCCAGATCCAAAAAAAGTTCCCTCTGCACGTGACACACAGTAACCCCAGACGATCGTTTCAGTCTTGTTAGGCATCATCAGTGAGGCATAGCTGATATCTCTCTAGGCTCCATTAGTTTAAAGGGTAATCCAGACGTGGACCCCTTGCTCGCGGTGCCTAGGGAGATATCAGCTATGCCTCACTGAGGATGCCTAACAAGGCTGAAACAATCGTCTGGAGTTGCTGTATCTCTCGTGCAGAGGGAACTTGCTGGCATTTCGGATCTGGACTGCCTGTATGGGTCTGATTTGTTTCAGAGATGTTCTCTCTGTAATGGCACAAGATGAGCTAAAACCAGCTTGAGATCTGAGCGGGCACCCACCAAAGGGCAGGCTATTTCAGCTGCTGCCTGTTCTCTTGCATCCCTTTTATTTTCCTCTCCTCTAGAGATGCATTGATTCAATACATCTCTATGAAGAGGTGCCAGTTGGCCAAAACGGTGTTTGGTCAGCCCCCTTGCCTATTTTAGCCAATCCAATGCTTTTCCCATGGATTGGCTTAAAATCAGCAATTCTGATGATGTCACCCACGCGGTGCTGGACATAAGGTGAGTTTTATTAACTTTTAAGGAAGCCACCTAAATAGTGGGTTAAACACTATAGGGTCAGGAATACATGTTTGTGTTCCTTTTATACGCGGATACTGAGAAATAAGTTCACATCTTCATCAAGCATATCAACACCACTGAGAATCACCATGAACATAAAGTGAACACTAGGCTTAAGCCACTGTACAGTCATCCTTATTTAGGGGCCACTAAAGGGCTGTGAACTACATTGTGCCTTGTGAATTGCTGGAAATGATTGTTACAGATTGGAATTGTTACAGAATATTACATTGTATCCTTCTCAGTGGAAAGTTTATTCTGAGTCTGCAGTGATTACACTTTGACTAGTGATAACATATTATTTGTATATATTTTCAGGGGCTAAACCCCCTTTACATTGGACTATGAGCACGCTATAAAGGGACACTACAGTCACCCACAACACTTCAGCTCATTGCAGTGTCACAGTCTCCCATACTCCTGCAATGTCAATAATTGCAGTTTCTGAGAAATAATACAATGCAGGACTAGGACTGCCCCTAGTGGCTGTCAATCAGGCAGCCCAATGTGCCCCCAGCGCTCATTGCGCATGCACATTAGTCCCCCCGCCCCCAAATCAGATGCTGTCGGAGGAGGCGGTGCGCTGAGGGACATAGGAGCTGGACTTAAGTAACTAAAGGGTTTTTAACCGTTTAGTTGTCAGAACGGGATGCAAGGGATTTATATTAGCATTAGCAGTATGTGTATATAAATATTTTCAGTATATAACAATGATTGGTACTTTTATCACAATACAGGATAAAGTGACATTATAATCTATGCAGAGTATCAAGTTCCCTGAAATGAATTTGTGGCATGGATGGATGTATAGCCCACATCCCTAAACCATTGACCACCTAACTAACATCTGTTGCACAGTTTCTTCCCTTGCCATGGACAGCAAAAATACAAAAAGAGCAGATTGTCTGGGATATTAATAACAAACTGAAGGCTAAATGCTATCTAGTGATCAAACCACATACTTAAACAATGTTTAGGCCTGATAAGTCTGTATATAGTCTGGTTGTGTAAAAGGGATACTATAGTCACCAAAACAACTTTGGTTTAATGAAGCAGTTTGTGTATAGCTCATGCCTCTGTGTTAATACTGCTTAATTCTCGGCCATTTAGGAGTTAAATCACTTTGTTTATGGAGCCCTAGTCACACCTCCCTGCATGTGACTCACACAGACTTTCTGAGATCTCATAGCAAAGTGTTTACTTCAGGTTTAAACACACAGGGCTGCAAAAAGGTGATTAGATGGGCTAATCTAGAAAATTAAATGGTGATATCCAAGACAACAAAACCAACCCCCATTTTTTCTGAGATTCAGTTTTGGGGCATTTTAGTAGCTTACATATTTAAATTACTTTATAAATGCATACGATTTGCAAAAGTGGACACCATGTGGTCTCTCATCATATATTTTGGGCTTTATTGAGATGCCTTTTTTGTCAATTAAATATTATGGAGTAGAGATATGATAATACAGGCAATAATGTCGATCAAGAGCCATATACGTGAGAAGGCAAATAAACATGAGAAAAAAAATCTAATATATTTTCGTTGTGCATGTATAGGCATCAAAACAAGACGTAGGTACAGTGGCCAAAGATAGAAATACAACATCTGTGTAGAATGAAGCCCATTAGGCATGGCGATTAACTCTATTTGACAGCCAAAGTTTCTAACGTTAGGCTAATTTACTTTGCGTAGCCAGCTATCCATGTCTGAAGACAGGTTATGATAACTATGGGTAAAAAAATAAAAATATATATAAAAAAAAAAAAATATATATAAAAAAAAAAAAAAAAAAGGTACCAAAAATGGTATTACCACTGTACTCAGAGAGAAAATGAGAACGAGAATAAAAGAAAACAAAGTGAACATAGCAAAAGGAAAGCATATAACCATATACAGAGGCTAGATAACGTCCACTAATGTCATTCTGATTTAAAACTCAGGCAGGAAGGCTGCATATAAAAAGGGAGTCTGCAGACAGTCAACACCTGACAGCAGGAAGCACAGAAGACCTGCTGGGTGATCTTTGGGAGAGACTGCGAAACAGAATCAAGGTATGATGTTACCCCAGCCCAGCATCTTTAAGCCACAGACTCGCGTACTCTCCAAGGCCAAATCCACAAGTAGTGCCGGTGCCTGTGAAATCGCTGAGCCCAGAGGAGGAACTCCCTTTCGATGCTTCTCACACCGCCAATCATCTTACAGAGCCAGGAAAGGTGATGCTTTTGCTTGTGCTTCCTATGTTGCTCAGAAATGCTGAAAGATTACCTCCAACTTCAACAGGGAGCTTTCCCACCCAAGTAACTATGCTATCCTCAGCTCGGTTAATTGAAAAAGAAGCTCCTGCAGGCTCTATCAGGCTATTAAGAGAGTACAAGACAAACAATTCTAACAGGGTGATTGAATAAAGTGAGAATTCAAAGTGAATTTAAGGCCAGAGTAGCTGAACTGAATGCAATGCTAACTTAGAGAATGTTTCCAGTTCGGCTATTTTTATCTTAAATTTGAAATTCACTTTGAATTCTCACTTTGTGAATAACCCTGTACATTAAACAGATTGTGCAATAAGGGAAGGTAAAAGATGTAGAGTGTGTGGACAGAGTGTAGCAGATAATTGAGCAGTAAGACTGCAGGGCCATGTTTTATATACCAAAACCACTTCATTACGCTAAAGAGGTTTTGGTTCTTAGAATATCCTTTTAATAAGTAATGTGGGTTTTCTTGCAAATGTCATTGAAATCTTGTAGTGATCCATTTCCAGGCTACCTGTATCACAGCTGTGATGAGTTGGCTTTGCCTCTATAGGAGTACAGACCCTGCTTACATCTTTTATGAAGTGAGACCAGAAGAGGTAGAGTACTGAAGCTAGGAGAAATCTACATGTTATTGTTAGAACACGTCTGGCAAACTCAAAGTTCTTTTGTCACTCTGTGGAATTTATACACAGATATTGTTCTGGAAGGGAATACTAACTCAAATCTCCATCTAAACATGCGAACAGAGTGTAGAAGTTACAAGTAGTGAAAACGCTCAGTGAATGAGTTTTATAACACTGTACTGCATACTGCCATTTTGTTGACTTTAATGAGGTGTGAACTGGCTACTCAAGGTAAGCCAGTGATGCAGCCACAATCAACTTACCAAAGAGGGCACCCTGGGAAGGGTTCTCTGTTGTGCTACTGAGAATCTGGTCCCCGCGGCGGACAGTCACACTGGTGGTTCGTTTTCCGTGTCCGTCTGTCACAGTTCGTCGCTCTTCTGTAGTCTGAAAAGAGGCAAAATCTTAATAGGATTTAGCATGATACAGCATAATACACATTAACAGCATGAATGCAGACTGTCTGGGATCCACACACATCAAGCAAAACAAAATAGGCAGACTAGTTTACTGCAGACCCAAATAAAGCAATCACTCTCATCCTCACCCCATCAGCTTTCGTCACTCTGGAAACAGACACACTCTGGAAATAGGAAGAAGACTTAGGTCCTGATGGGCCCAAGAAGGCATCCAAACCCTTAGAGGATACTTCTGAATCCAGATCTAGATAGAGAGAAGTATAAACAAAGGAGTTACCAAACCAATCTGGACTGAGGCGTAGATCTGATAGACAGAGAGAGATTTATATAGCCCGGTGTAACTATAAGTTATTGATTTCATATCAGTCAAGTGTGGGCAAACAGGTATGTCACAGATTACATATTGACACAGACTGCTATAACACAGTAATAGCAAATGATTGCCTGACAGACGAAACTGCAACAGAAAGATTCCTACCCAGATTCCGTCACCCTTTCCTTGTCTCAGTCCCCCCACCTGCTTTTTAAGCCACTGCCCACTTTCTCTATTAAAGGGACACTATAGTCACCAGAGCAACTACAGCTTATTGTATTGGTTCTGGTGCATAGAATCAGTCCCTTCAGGCTTTTTTGCAGTAAACACAGCTTTTTCAGAGAAAATGCAGCGTTTACATTACAGCGTAGTGATAACTCCACTGGCCACTCCTCAGATGACTGCTTGAGGTGCTTCCTGGGGCAGTTCTGCACAGTGTGACTGACATTCAGTGTCTCCACCCACTGCATGGAGACACTGAACTTTCCTCATAGAGATGCACTAATTTAATTCATCTCTATAAAAAGATGAAGATTGGCCAGGGCTGTGTTTGGCTTGTGCTGGCTCTGCCTCTGATCTGCCTCCTTGATAATCTTAGCCAATCCAATGGTTTCCTATGTGAATAGTGAGATAATCCCTTCTGATGAGGTCAGCCAAGCAGGTAGATCAGGGACAGAGTCAGCAGCAGCTGAGTGGAATAAAGGTAAGATTTTACTATATTTAGGGTGACATGGGGGCTATATGGCGTTTCTAGCACTAAAGGGTCAGGAATACATGTTTGTGTTCCTGATCCTATAGTGTTCCTTTAATGTTTAAATCTCTTTTCATGTGTTCCCTATTCTTTCCTTCCAGAATTATGGATCAATCCATATCATCTTGTCCCCTCCATATAAAGTTCTCCACACTTTTTGCCCCATTATACCATCATATCCTTTGTATATAAGTGTAGGTTCTCTATTAAAGTTCACTTCCCCATCCTTTCATTTTAATTCCCCACTACTTGCATCTATTTACCCCATCTCAACTACCAATCTGAATAATAACCTCTTGCTACACACCATATCAGTCCCACTTGCTCCTCCTATTTGCACAGTTCCTCCGTACGTCTTTCTAACCTACACCAGTGTATGGTCGTGCATCATCATAGTTTCTACACTCTCTTCATAATAAACGTCCCCTTTTCAATGAACCACAATGGACAGTGGGTAACATGGGGCCATGTTCAAGTGTGGGAGAATGGAAGGGAGACACCCTGGTTGTCAGGCTGGGAGTCAGGCAGCTGCCAACAGAAACAGCTTGCTGGTGGTAGAGAGAAAAAGTCTTACAGAGGGTTTTTAAAGTTTTAAATTTAGGTTGTCCTAACAAAATGGTCAATATGTCCCTGCATTTTGTGTAAAGCACAATGCATTAAACTGAGCTTAAGTGGCCTCTGAGTGACAAAAGCAACAACTGTGCATGTGCATTACAGGTAGGTTATAAACGATATATCAGAAAGGTTATTTACCTCTGTCTTCCTTTGAGTCTGTTTGTGGGATTCGGAATGAATAATCATCCTGATAACATAAAATGATGTCACTTTAACACACATTATAATGCAACCCTTTCATTTATTTACATGAAATCCATAAATATAAAAACATATTGCAAGTTAATTGTTTTTGTCTTGTGAGAGCCCCCTCCTTCCCCCAAAAACACAAACAACAAAAAACCAAGCCTATGTACTTATGCTTTGACAGGATGATGGATTGGAGGAATCATATTAAGTGTTTCAAAAAGAAAAAGAAAATATTAGAATGAAACCACGTATCAGAGCATGTACTTACAAAGTTAAAGTATGGATTACGTCATGTTTTTTTCCTACTGTAAATAAATGTGAATTACCCATTTCAGGAACTTTGATCATAATAGCAACAGAATCAGATGATAAGTGTATTTCAATGAACCCCTTAAAAAATATGCTCATGGAAATCGACTCAAAAAATACTTTAATTGGCTTTCCAGTTTCCATAGAACACTGGCAAGGAAAGAAACGGTAGATCTTGTTACATTCCCAGTTTTCAAAGTTTAATGTGTCTCCATCATCAAAAAAAAATACTAAAACACTAATATCTCATATAGCAACACAAGAATAATCTACAAACGCTGCTGATTTAAAAAAAACAAAAAACTGCTCAGAGTTTATTATTAAGGGTTACTCATCTGAACTTCTTTATGACACTTGTATCACCAGGGAGGTCAAATAAGCCATGTGAAAATTCCATGCTCTCTACAACTATTTTTAAATTGATCCTTCAAAAAAAAAATAATAAATAAATAAAGTAACAAAAATTCCTAGTCGGAACTACAACAGACAATTACAAGTAAACCTACCCTAAACTGGGCAAACTACCTGTGGCTCACATTGTTTTATTCCAAATTATGTAAAGAAATGAGCAGATTATATGATAGCTTTAGGATTTTTTCCCTTGAAAAATGAACCAAAAATATACACACCCATGGTATTCGTCTTGGTAGCCTGGGTACGCCTGGATTAGCTGGTATCCGTGGGAGTGGATGCTGCTCCTTTGGTAGGTGAGAGTCCGGATATTTAAGCATAGAATCCCTTAATGTTTTTGCTCCATAACCTTCTGGCCTTTGGGGTGGAGATTCAATGCTGTGCAGTTCTGTGCATAGAGAGAGAGGGAAAAAAAATTAAGATATATTTTTTGCTATTGTGGTGCTAAGATGACGGTACATTGTAAAGTAGAGGAAAATAAATTCATATCAGCACTACACTTACATCCAAAGTGTATGATCTTTCCACAAATATAATTGTCAAAAGATCTCAAAATTCCTTAATTTCTTTGCAAACCCCCACCCCACCCCAATAAAAAAAAACAAAAAAAAAAACAAAGCACCCCCTCAAATTGTTACCAGATACATTTGTTGAAACAGCTTCTCAGTAGAACTGCATTGCTACTCCCCCTGCTGGTATCCACTATACACTACAAACAGAAGCAAATGAACACTATTGTGTATCCATCCTGCTGCAGTGTTCTCCTCTTTATTTAGATTCAAACGCCCTCCTAAATCTAAATAAAGACTAGAAAAAAAAATTACTTTTCTTTTTGTTCCCCAATGCAGTGATGGAGTCCCTGCGATGTCAGGCCTGCACTTCTGAATGTAAAAAAACAAACAAAAAACAAACAAAAACACACACACACAAAAAAAACAGAACTGTTCAAAAGTCATTAATGGAGCGGCCGAAAAGAGCAGACGTGCTGCAAGAGCGCTCCGCTACAACAAGCCTGTAAAAGCTATTAAACAAACCTTAAATCACTAGTTTTGCAGCAAAAACGCATTGCCAGTATGGGGAAGAAGACGCCAGGGACCCGTGAAACCAGCGGGATCCCAGAACATTGGCAATCTCCTACTCCGGCCTTCCAGGGCCTCGGGCACGGCCGCACCTAAAGAAAATGAACACTAAGCAACATAACCAATACAGTGCAGTCTGGTGGTTTTGTTGTCTAGAGTCTCAGGACACTTCCCCCAGGTTTTAGGTCTTGCTGTTTAGAAGCAGTTTGATAAACAGAAAAGCAGACACACCCTCATCTGTCGCATAAATAATGTGGAATTAAAGGGACAGTAAAGTTACCAGAACAATTACAGCTTATTGAATTTGTTCTGGTGAGTAGAATTAGTCCCTCCAGTCTTTTTACTGTAACCATTGTTTTTCAGAGAAAATGCAGTGTTTACATTACAGCCTAACTCCACTGGCCATTCCTTATATGGCTACTAGAGGTGCTTCCTGGGGCAGTGCTGCACAGTGTGACTGGCATTCAATGTATCCAACCCTCTGCATGGAGACACTGAACGTTCCTCATAGAGATGCATTGATTCAGAGATGCTAATTGGCCAGGGTTGTGTTTGGCTTGTGCTGGCTCTGCCCATGATCTGCCTTCTTGATAGTCTCAGATCAACACTTCTAATGATGTCAGCCAAGAAGGCAGATCAGGAGCAGAGCCAGCAGCAGCAGAGTGGAATAAAAGGAAGATTTTACTATATTTAAGGGCGTAAAGGGGGGCCAGATGGCAGTTTTAACACTATAGGCTCAAAAATGCAGGTTTGTGTTACTGACCCTACAGTGTTTCTTTAAAACTTTCTCTTTATAAATGTAAATTGGCAATGTAGTGATTGACTGGCTGAGAGTGCTGGGCAGTTAGCTAATAGCGCTCATAAAGAAGAAAAGAAAGAAACATTAGAAGCATAAGTAATTGCAATACCTAAAGGTTTAAATAATACACACGATTTGACCTGAGCTGAAGTCCCTCTCACTGTAGTTCCAGCAGAATAAACAGGCAAACATTAAGAAAAAATGTCATCCACCTAAACAAATCCATTCTATCTCGTACAGTCAGTTCTTACGAGTCCGCAGAATCGTCAGTGATAACAATCTGATTGATACCCTGCTAACTGACCTTTGCAAATAAATTTTTGGATAAAGCATATAGTCTACACCTTCTACATAATACTAAGCAGAAAGTTACGAGAATGAAACGTGAAACACTTATCCTCACAGAAATCCAGACAGGACAGACTCGATTTTGTAAGTACCTTCTCACCCCTTTCAACACAAATATTAAACATCATTTGTAAACACTGGTACATTCTTCAACTGGATAAGAACATGGGCACCGGTTTAGAGACCCCCATTTATTTGCTCACAAATAAGGACAATCAATATGCAATAAGGTAGTCAGGACAGACACTATGATGTCTAATAAACAAACATTTCAATCTAAACCAGTTCATGGTACCTACCCATGTCTAAGCTGCTATCACTGCTGCAGAGAAATCAATGGGGAATTCTGCACCCATCTTAGAACAAGACAGCAAATTAAATTAAGAGGCTTCTTTACATGTCAGACTGATTATGTGGTCTACCTCCTGAAGTGTCCGTGCGGCTTGGTATATGTGGGTAAGACCATACATTCTCTTAAAGATCGAGTGTCACAACAGAAAATAACTATATGGAGTTCCAACTCAGAGGCTCCAGTCACGACACTTCAGAGAGAAAAGACACGACATCTCGCAACTACGCTACCATGTCCTGGAGAGAGTAGCGCCACTTACCGGTGGGAGTAACAGGGAAAGAATCCTTTTCCAGAAAGAGGTTTGGTTGCTGTAACCCCTGGATACAGTGTCACCTCATGGTCTTACTGAGAAGCTTAAGTGGCACTGGTTCCTCCAAGTACTCCAGTTAATACCCGCTGGATAGCTGTTGTCTCCTGGAGCTGGGTATGTATATTTTATCTATTTATACCTTCCTACGCTCGATGCTTCAATTTACTTTGGGGTACTGAGAGGCCTGCACCAAGACTCTTTAACTTTATGCACAGGATTAGGCACCCTGTATACCCTAATACCAGATTGGTATTGGGTGATCGCTTTCTATAGTATGTATTTCAATAATTTGCATATATGGGTAGAGAGTATAACACTATACACTACTTATTGCAGTTCTTTTGTTTTATGTTCTTTACACACTGGTAGTTTTGTATTTATCCACTTTATCTCTGTCTATCTAGATTTGGTTATGTGTCTTTTGCTATGATATTCTGTACTAACAGAGCTTGTTCTGGACATGTTCCACATTTGGGCAATATTTAACGAAGTACCCCATACCTGTATCTTTATTTTTCGTTATTTTCGTAGCAAACATCTCTTTTGTGTACTCGTTTCCTAGCAACCGAGTACCATGACGTCACATGCATTGTGCGTGCTTGACATCTGACGTCATGACGCCACACACATACTTGCCGGCTCCAAGATGGCGAAGGAACGTCAAATATCGAGACACAGCTGTACTAAATTGGTGGGAACTTAATTCACTGTATCTGTGCACTGTATATAAACTGGTGAGTGTCATTGTATGTTTAAAGGACATTTGCATTGAAAAAGGGCTTGTGCCCGAAACATCTGCTTTTTCTATTTTGTCCTTCAAATAAATTCTAGGTAGCATGTTTTATGCACACTTTAACTGGAAGTGCAGACCTCATTTTTTCATGTTTGCCTAATAGCTCTCAGCCTGAAGGCTCCCCATAGAGATTTGTTAATTAAACGCATCTTTATGAGGAGATGCAGATTGGGGCAGCGCAGTATTTTGCTGCGAAAGCGCACCATCCTCCCAATGCTTTCCTCAGTCATGGAGGCGGGGCCAAATGAGAGAAAGGGTAAGTTTAAACATCTTTCCTAATATAAGAGGGGACGGTGATCTTAACAGTTATTTTAACACTACAGTGTCTACATGTTTATATTCCTGACACTATAGTGTTCCATTAATCATTATTCAGATCATATTATCCATTAAACAAAGAATTTATTGCTAATTATAAATATTCCATTCTATGTAAAAGTGTGTGAGGGACTGCTCCTTGTGTAGAATTGCTGAGTAATTCACCACGTTGATCACTGGTATTCTGTGTCACCAATGATCAATTATCTGAAAGTAGGCATTTCAAGATTCCTGCTAACAGTTTGGTTGGCGCACACAGCATTTAGAGGGATCTTGGATGGAATAGGTGGAAGTAAAATTTACTTTGAAGTCAGAAACAAAGAGGCTTGGCTTATTGCTGCAGCAATATTCTGCAAATTGTAATCTCTCTTATATAAACTTTATAAAGATGCAAAATTGTTATAATGCAAGAGTGACCCTTTAAGGAATTTACAAAAGTTTAAGAATTAGCAAAATAGACATATTTTAGTTGCTTTGCATTCACAATGGAGATACAGTGATCTATTACAGATGTGTTGTAATACTGCTTTATTGCAGGGGTTCCCAAAAGGTAGATACCCAGATGTTTTAAAACTACAGCTTCCTTGGTTTGTTTTTGCATTCTAAAGGCATGCAACATCTGGGGATCTACCTTTTGGGCATCCCTGATTTAGTACCTTTACTAAGAGAAGGTAGAAAGTGTTGGTAAGGAGATTGAAAAAACTGTGTAGGACGTACCTGGAATTTGTACATTAAGAGATTCAAAATCAGCAAAAAGTTCATTGAAATCCTGAAACAATCCCTCAAAGCCAAATGACTCCTTGAAAGGGTTCTGACTTGGCCCGAAGGAGAAGCCAAAGTTAAACGTGGGAGGGTTGCCAAATGGGTACCCAGAATCTTCTGCTTCATCCCCATCATCATCTTCATCTTCAAGAGTCATCCCACCAAAAAATGGGTCTCTGAAACAGAAAGACTCATTAGAAACAAGAGGACTGCACAAAAGAAACCTAATCATTGATATAAGCTGTATTATTAATAAAGTTTAGAATCTCCCTTAAAGGAACAGAATCAGGGTAATTCACTACAGTGAGAATTCGAAGTGTCTAGCCATCACAATTTGTCCCTTGTCAACGTCATTCAGATTTTTTCGCTTTAAAACACATGAAATTCAAGAACTGACTGTTCACTTTCTGCCTACTATATGCCACCGTTTGACAGGTGCCACTGTAACGTTATAATCAATGTTATTCACTTCACCTGACAGTGGTTTTAATGGTGTGTATGATCAGTGTATAATAAGAATTACGGAAAATAAACATAAAACATTTCAAAAGGAATGCACCTGCGCTGTTGCATGTGTCCATCAATATTATCCATAAACTCTGGAATAGTATGGTAAGAGCAGGGTTTAACCTCAGCTCACCACTGGTCCGTCTTTGTCTGCATTTTTTACAAGCTTCATGTTTTTGGGGTTTCCAAATGTGTAACAGAATTTCACTATTACACAATTTGCAGTAATGTTTCTTTAAACTATACTACATGCGTTTAGAATTTAGTCTGTAAAGGGGAATGCATTGTGTCCAAGACTGGTGTCCGAATGGCACTGTATCAAACAGGGAAAAACAATCTGGTTGTGTATGAGACCATTCAGACTGAAAACCCATTTAATAATGTCCGGATCTTGCAATTTTGAGCCAGAATTGTAACCGGATTTAGATCAGATTAAATACTGCTGGTAATCTGCAATTTGGGCTCAGATACTTACAACCTGGAGTTGGATAAACAAAATATTGACTGTTTAAGGACTGAGTTGTATGGAGGCTGGCCAGCGCTTTGCTAGCCAGCCAGCACATCAAAAAGTACAAAAGAAAATACAAAAACCATAGGAATTTTCAGTTATTCACTAATGTGAGAATTGTTGCAAATTTAAAGTGAATTTCAAATTTAAGGCCAAACTAAAAGCCATCTACTTGTTTTGAGGACTGAAGTGGTAGCACAAATTACTGACATAAGATAATTTCAATTATTTAGTTTGTGGACTCCACTTAGAGTTTGGCATTGAAAGAGTTAATAATTAACCTCAGAAATTTACCAAAATAAATCGGAAGGGAAAACAGAGATAAAAAAGCTCTGTGAAAATCCTCCAACATAACTATAGTCTCAAACTGTTATTTTGGCATCAGTTTTCCCTTTTCGATTTAAAGTGTGAAAGGTTTAGTAACTTACCCCCTTTTCTCCCTCATAGTGTGTGTGGTGAAAGGGTTTAATGTGTGTGTGTTACTTTGGCTTTGTAACACTCTGAGGTAATCACACACAGATATTGTGTATTATATTATTATGTTACACGGTGTGAGGTAATCACACACAGATATTGTGTATTATATTACACGGTGCGAGGTAATCACACACAGATATTGCGTATTATATTATTATATTAAACGGTGTGAGGTAATATTGTGTATTATATTATTATATTACACAGTGTGAGGTAATATTGTGTATTATATTATTATATTACACAGTGTGAGGTAATATTGTGTATTATATTATTATATTACACGGTGTGAGGTAATATTGTGTATTATATTATTATATTACACGGTGTGAGGTGATATTGTGTATTATATTATTATATTACACAGTGTGAGGTAATATTGTGTATTATATTATTATATTACACAGTGTGAGGTAATATTGTGTATTATATTATTATATTACACGGTGTGAGGTAATATTGTGTATTATATTACACAGTGTGAGGTAATATTGTGTATTATATTATTATATCACACAGTGTGAGGTAATATTGTGTATTATATTATTATATTACACGGTGTGAGGTAATATTGTGTATTATATTATTATATTACACAGTGTGAGGTAATATTGTGTATTATATTATTATATTACACGGTGCGAGGTAATATTGTGTATTATATTATTATATCACACGGTGTGAGGTGATATTGTGTATTATTTCACACGGTGTGAGGTAATATTGTGTATTATATTATTATATCACACAGTGTGAGGTGATATTGTGTATTATATTATTATATTACACGGTGTGGGGTAATATTGTGTATTATATTATTATATCACACGGTGTGAGGTAATATTGTGTATTATATTATTATATCACACGGTGTGAGGTAATATTGTGTATTATATTATTATATCACACAGTGTGAGGTAATATTGTGTATTATATTATTATATTACACGGTGTGAGGTAATATTGTGTATTATATTATTATATCACACAGTGTGAGGTAATATTGTGTATTATATTATTATATTACACAGTGTGAGGTAATATTGTGTATTATATTATTATATTACACAGTGTGAGGTAATATTGTGTATTATATTATTATATTACACACAGTGTGAGGTGATATTGTGTATTATATTATTATATTACACGGTGTGTGAGGTGATATTGTGTATTATATTATTATATCACACGGTGTGAGGTAATATTGTGTATTATATTATTATATTACACAGTGTGAGGTGATATTGTGTATTATATTATTATATTACACGGTGTGTGAGGTGATATTGTGTATTATATTATTATATTACACGGTGTGAGGTAATATTGTGTATTATATTATTATATTACACGGTGTGAGGTGATATTGTGTATTATATTATTATATTACACAGTGTGAGGTAATATTGTGTATTATATTATTATATTACACGGTGTGTGAGGTGATATTGTGTATTATATTATTATATTACACGGTGTGTGAGGTGATATTGTGTATTATATTATTATATTACACGGTGTGAGGTGATATTGTGTATTATATTATTATATTACACGGTGTGTGAGGTGATATTGTGTATTATATTATTATATTACACGGTGTGAGGTAATATTGTGTATTATATTATTATATTACACGGTGTGAGGTGATATTGTGTATTATATTATTATATTACACAGTGTGAGGTAATATTGTGTATTATATTATTATATTACACGGTGTGTGAGGTGATATTGTGTATTATATTATTATATTACACGGTGTGTGAGGTGATATTGTGTATTATATTATTATATTACACGGTGTGAGGTGATATTGTGTATTATATTATTATATTACACAGTGTTAGGTAATATTGTGTATTATATTATTATATTACACGTGTGAGGTAATATTGTGTATTATATTATTATATTACACGGTGTGAGGTAATATTGTGTATTATATTATTATATTACACGGTGTGAGGTGATATTGTGTATTATATTATTATATTACACAGTGTGAGGTAATATTGTGTATTATATTATTATATTACACGGTGTGAGGTAATATTGTGTATTATATTATTATATTACACGGTGTGAGGTGATATTGTGTATTATATTATTATATTACACAGTGTGAGGTAATATTGTGTATTATATTATTATATTACACAGTGTGAGGTAATATTGTGTATTATATTATTATATTACACGGTGTGAGGTAATATTGTGTATTATATTATTATATTACACGGTGTGAGGTGATATTGTGTATTATATTATTATATTACACACGGTGTGTGAGGTGATATTGTGTATTATATTATTATATTACACAGTGTGCGGTAATATTGTGTATTATATTATTATATTACACAGTGTGCGGTAATATTGTGTATTATATTATTATATTACACAGTGTGAGGTGATATTGTGTATTATATTATTATATCACACAGTGTGAGGTGATATTGTGTATTATATTATTATATCACACAGTGTGAGGTAATATTGTGTATTATATTATTATATCACACGGTGTGAGGTGATATTGTGTATTATATTATTATATTACACAGTGTGAGGTAATATTGTGTATTATATTACACAGTGTGAGGTAATATTGTGTATTATATTATTATATTACACAGTGTGAGGTAATATTGTGTATTTTATTATATCACACAGTGTGAGGTAATATTGTGTATTATATTATTATATCACACAGTGTGAGGTAATATTGTGTATTATATTACACAGTGTGAGGTAATATTGTGTATTATATTACACAGTGTGAGGTAATATTGTGTATTATATTATTATATTACACAGTGTGAGGTAATATTGTGTATTATATTATTATATTACACAGTGTGAGGTAATATTGTGTATTATATTATTATATCACACGGTGTGAGGTGATATTGTGTATTATATTATTATATTACACAGTGTGAGGTAATATTGTGTATTATATTACACAGTGTGAGGTAATATTGTGTATTATATTATTATATTACACAGTGTGAGGTAATATTGTGTATTTTATTATATCACACAGTGTGAGGTAATATTGTGTATTATATTATTATATCACACAGTGTGAGGTAATATTGTGTATTATATTATTATATTACACGGTGTGTGAGGTGATATTGTGTATTATATTATTATATCACACAGTGTGAGGTAATATTGTGTATTATATTATTATATTACACAGTGTGAGGTAATATTGTGTATTATATTATTATATTACACAGTGTGAGGTGATATTGTGTATTATATTATTATATCACACAGTGTTAGGTGATATTGTGTATTATATTATTATATCACACAGTGTGAGGTGATATTGTGTATTATATTATTATATCACACAGTGTGAGGTAATATTGTGTATTATATTATTATATCACACAGTGTGAGGTAATATTGTGTATTATATTACACAGTGTGAGGTAATATTGTGTATTATATTACACAGTGTGAGGTAATATTGTGTATTATATTATTATATCACACAGTGTGAGGTAATATTGTGTATTATATTATTATATTACACAGTGTGAGGTAATATTGTGTATTATATTATTATATTACACAGTGTGAGGTATATTGTGTATTATATTATTATATCACACAGTGTAGGTGATATTGTGTATTATATTATTATATGACACAGTGTGAGGTGATATTGTGTATTATATTATTATATTACACAGTGTGAGGTGATATTGTGTATTATATTATTATATCACACAGTGTGAGGTAATATTGTGTATTATATTATTATATCACACAGTGTTAGGTGATATTGTGTATTATATTATTATATCACACAGTGTGAGGTAATATTGTGTATTATATTATTATATCACACAGTGTTAGGTGATATTGTGTATTATATTATTATATCACACAGTGTGAGGTAATATTGTGTATTATATTATTATATTACACAGTGTGAGGTGATATTGTGTATTATATTATTATATCACACAGTGTGAGGTAATATTGTGTATTATATTATTATATCACACAGTGTGAGGTGATATTGTGTATTATATTATTATATTACACGGTGTGTGAGGTAATATTGTGTATTATATTATTATATTACACACGGTGTGTGAGGTAATATTGTGTATTATATTATTATATCACACAGTGTTAGGTGATATTGTGTATTATATTATTATATTACACAAGGTGTGTGAGGTGATATCGCGGTATTTACTAAGGCTGTTATTATTCTCTCACCTCCTGCTCCCGGTATCGAAGAATCTCCTGAACAGATCGAACAGACTCATGTCACCTGTCACCCCGTGTGACTACACAGCTGGAGCCCAGCTCGCCACCAGCCACCGGCCAGCGACGTCACCACTGTCACATGACCACACGGAGCACGTGGTACAAAGCATCGAGCAGGATTACTATCCGCATGCCGATCAGGGAATTCATCGAGCAGGATTACTATCCGCATGCCGATCAGTGAATTCATCGAGCAGGATTACTATCCGCCTGCCGATCAGGGAATTAATCGAGCAGGATTACTATCCGCATGCCGATCATTGAATTAATCGAGCAGGATTACTATTCGCATGCCGATCGGGGAATTCATCGAGCAGGATTACTATCCACATGCCGATCAGTCGCTGCATGTTAACACTGGGCTCCTCAATGTGTAAATTTGTACCAATAAGACTTGTTTAATTGTAATTACTTCCTATTAGCGTCCCATGATATTCTGTATTATAAAGGGAAGTGAATAAATATAGCTACACAATATATCCCTCACTGTATAAATTCATAGCAAAATTATATGTAGTAATTTTTTTGCATTTTTAAAAGTTAAATAAAATTCAGAAATGTTTAAATACAGGTTCATTTTGTCTCGATTCGCTATATTAGCATTATCCAGGATATTTACTAACTTGGACAGAGAATTTCTCCAGTTTGGCTACATGGGCCTTAAATGTGAGAGTCACTGTGCATTTTTAGTTGAGTTTCATCCCCAAATTTGAAAGAATCAGTTCAGGTGACAAAACAGACAGTTTTGCAACAGAACAAATTGTAAATGTTAAATTTATTCACACCGAATTGGAAAATTAAGGCAAAAATGGTTATTTAGCAAATATCCCCGGGTGTGAATTTTAAATTTAAGGCCAAAGTAGTGGGCTAACTTTGCCATAAACAGAAGCATTGGTGTCAGGATTTTATTCAGTTTCCCTACTTGGGGTTCCAAGGAAGAATACAAGCATTAGGAAAACAAGCATATATTCTAAACACTATAGTATTCTCCGACATATTTAGATTCAGCCAGCCTTCGCACTAAATTAAAGGAACACAGTGTGAGGCATACAAATGTGTAATCATAATGCTATATTGTCCCTCACCCATAAACATATTACAGAGCCCCCAGGTGTTGAACGGGTTACAAAAAAAAAACAAAAAAAAAACATTGAGCAAATGCCTCATTGCAATGTGAGCCATGCCACAAGAGGAAGTCTTAACCCTGCAATGGGGAGTGGGATGAAGTGGCCTGGGTGCTTGTAGTGTACCTTTAAGAAGGACAAAGGGGGGAGAAGTAACAAGGACTTTACTGCTGAGACTCACTGGATTCAGCCACCCACAGGAGTCGATTCTTCATGTTCTCATCCAATCTAATATTGTTCATAAAGAAGCATTGGGGAATAGAATCACATGCAGTCCTCCAGTTAAATTCTCTCAATGATGCATGTATCCCATAATCCTCTGCTGGACAATTAATAATGGGATAAGACTAGTGCAGAATGATACACTTTTGATTGGAGTATTTCTTCCTGGTGTGGGAGAGGGGATCCTTTCCAGCCACAAACAGATACACTGACTAAGCTATGGTTTCCTTGGAATTTTTAATCTCCCCCAATACTATTAAATAAAAAATAATATCAGTTAGTATTACTTTACTGAGAGGGTAGTGGATGCATGGAATAGCCTTCCAGCTGAAGTGGTAGAGGTTAACACAGTGAAGGAGTTTAAGCATGCGTGGGATAGGCATAAGGCTATCCTAACTATAAGATAAGACTAGGGACTAATGAAAGTATTTAGAAAATTGGGCAGACTAGATGGGCCGAATGGTTCTTATCTGCCGTCACATTCTATGTTTCTATTTTTAATACACTGGTTATGCAACGCTAAAAAGTCGTATTTGAATTGACAAATACCAAATCACCTAAAATAGTTACCCAGCTTACTTTCTTGGAATTCATGTGGGTTTTCGTGTGAATGTCATAAATGTAAAGTAGCATCTACCTGGCTTTAAGGTTTCTTATTAGAAGCATTTGCAGAAGACCGATCATTTACCAAGACTTTCCAAATGTTAGCTAAACCCTAAACCAATACCTGGATGGCAAGGTAAATGATCATGATATGGTATAAGGATTAACACTTATTTACTTGCAGCATCTAGGCTCAGTTACTGGCAGGTGAAAAAAAATCTGCTCGCTCGGTGCTATTCACTAAACTGAGAATTCAAATACATTTAGGTCAAAATAGCCAATCTGGAAAAATTCTGTCAGCTATGTTTTCAGAAAAAAGATAAAAAGGTTAGCACTAATAATAAAAAAATAGGATAAAAGGCAGCGGCCTTATAGGGGGTCACCCTCTGACCCTCTACAGTAAGGATATATACAAGAGCAAAGAACAAGGCTGCGCCAAAGTGATTAAAACTAGTCCAAATAAAATAATGGAATGTTGGATAAAAATGTATTCAAATAAAAGAAGTCCCAATAGTAGATGGTGTCTTTAACTGATATGATGTCTTCCTTTTTATGGTAGTGGTCGTCCGTCTCACGATATGAAAGACACAATGAGAGAGAGCCAATTGTGCAGAGTGTATAGATAAGTAGTTAAAATTAAAATATAAATTACACACTCACATTTCCATGAGCTAGGACTAGCTCTAGTATGATGGACATACGGCGGATAACCCTCCGCTTATAGGGGTGCTTGTCCTCCTGGAGAGTCCTGGTGTCCAATTCTCAGGGAAAGAAAATAAAAACAGCCAATAGTGCTCTCTGGTGAGGTAGTTGGTAAAAAGAATAAAAATAAATAAAATATACTCACAAGTGGCGTGCAGGTCAATCTGCACTCTATTTTTCGCTTGGGTGGTATAATCCCCACCTTAGGATATGCCAGGAACAGTAAATGAAGTGTCAAGGGTTATCCGCCGTATGTCCACCATACTAGAGCTAGTCCTAGCTCATGGAAATGTGAGTGTGTAATTTATATTTTAATTTTAACTACTTATTTATACACTCTGCACAATTGGCTCTCTCTCATTGTGTCTTTCATATCGTGAGACGGACGACCACTACCATAAAAAGGAAGACATCATATCAGTTAAAGACACCATCTACTATTGGGACTTCTTTTATTTGAATACATTTTTATCCAACATTCCATTATTTTATTTGGACTAGTTTTAATCACTTTGGCGCAGCTATGTTTTCAGCTCAGCTACTTTGGTCTTACATTTGAAATTAACTTAGAATTCTCATTTTAATGAAACATTATGTAAATTGTGAATTGGCAATCCCCCCAATGTCATCAGTTTGACAACATGGGATACACCAGGCATTAGTCTTTTTGTCTATTGAGAGCTGGAAGTTCATGCACAAAGTTTCCTGTAACTCTGCTGTGTCAAGCTGTGGATAGTGCCTTGTACGAAAGTGTCAGCTGAGCGTGTTTAGCCAATTATCTAAGCCTTTCTCTGCATTGAGCTAAGCAAAGCAGTGTGCTTTAACCCCTTAAGGACCAAACTTCTGGAATAAAAGGGAATCATGTCATGTGTCCTTAAGGGGTTAAGGTTCTCATGGAGGTGGTGACAAGGTGCCTGACGGACCCTAGGTAAGTTGTCAAATTGTTAATGGTTTGACTACTTACACTGGTTGGAGGAAGGAATCCCTTTAATAATTGTAAAATAAATGATTTGATTTGACAGTCTAAGTGGTTATGGTGTTTAGAGAGTTTCATTGAAACATAAAAATAGGGGGAAATGGCTAAATTGGAAACTTTCTTAACTCAAATATAATGGACATAACCAACACTTCTGTGAAAACACTGGAAATTACTACAAATATATTTAAAAAATAAATATTTTGGTGATGATATTGTGTAGTTTGCTTAATGGATGTTAATGTGTTTACTGCATAAAAGGATATCCTTTTACATACAAAAATTACAAATTTAAGGCATATACCGGCAACAACATGCTGCTCCTGGTTTACAGATGGTGCCATATGCCAACCACATCATAATGGGACAGTAGGTACATTCTTAATGCTTTGAAGGCACAAATTTGAGAAAATTCAGAAATGCAGCTGTGTTTTTCTTTTATATATACAAGACACATTTATGCATTAAATTTAGAACACAGTACAAAAAAAACACGTCAACTAATTATTCATACAATGCAGGTTTCATAGCAATCCATCCTAGGTATACAGAGATCGCTCTTAGAAGGGGCCTGTGTTTCCCCTGTTACCTCTGCAAAAAGAGGTAATAAAGGAAAAAAAAAAGAAAACCATAAAACAAAATTAAAGAACGGCCCTCTCCTAAAATAGCGAACGATTCATACTTCGACTGCAGAAAACGAGGAGGAAAAAAAATACAAATTCTATATTACATATAACGAGAAGAATGGAGAGAGCCATTTGGGCCCTAAATGGGCGCAGAAAAGGGAACTTTGTTTTGACATTGTGTGCATTGCTCCTATAATGTCTTCTCTGTCACGCAGTGTTCTTTGGGGAGTGCAGGGGAGCGACTCCACCGGTTAGTTGCTCCCCCAACTATAACTGCTGTACGCCGATTTGCTGGGCTGAGACTTCTGTGGCATAGATGCTCCCTGGGTCCGCTGTCCAGCGCCACCCTGCGGAGAGATACAGGAAGAGATGTTAGCAAAGAGAAAACAAAAGGCTTACATCTTATTTACGTTGTCTGGTAGCACCGTTTTATAGTGCGGTCATTTGCGCAGCTACTCCCTGCATTCATCTGTATGGCTGTAAATAAACAAGGCAAACAGTCCACAGAGCAAATGGTGTGAGGAGTACGGCTAGTGGAACGGAGAAAGAGAATATCTTCTAGACTCCTAATCAGCAATGTGCATTACCAAGAATTACCTAAGAACAGGTATTACGCGACATTGTAGTGATAACTGTGTCCACTTTCCACGTGGGAATATTAACATGTATTTACTCTTTCTATAAAGTCAAGCACTTGCTAGAGTTTTATATTATTTTTTTTTCAGATATGCTCTATAAATGTAGGGTTTTTTTTTTTTTACTTACGTCCCAATTTGCTGTCTTCAATAAACATCCCAAATTACTGCCTTCAATAAACCTTGCAATAAATCTCTACCTATAGTTGAAGTTTAGGCATTTTTCTTGTAAACCCAAGATACGTTTCTGTGAATGAGCCTGCTTAGTACATTTCCCAATACTAAAAACCCAGCGTATTATTGTCCCATTATATTTCTCTATATATTATTATTGTCCCATTGTCTAGCTCTCCTCCTGTGTAAACCATTCTTGTCTGTAAGGGAAACAAAAGTAACTTCCTTGCTTAAACTGAAACTTTCAATCTTGTCTACTTTTTATAACCAGCATTTATATCCCAGACTGAACATTTGGCAACTTTACAGAGCCCAGAAAAATTAATCAAAGAAAGCCAAAGCATTGGACTTACTAAAGAGGGAACTAGTTGAATTAAAAAGAGTTCAACTCAGAAAATGGATTTCATACCACAGATGGCCTTTTTCAAGAGAGAAAAAAATTAAAAGCCTAAGAACAAGGTTCAAAGAGGTTGTGACAAGTTCTGAAGAGGGTAAAGATAAACAACCAGGAATAAATATTAATGTAAAGAGACTACAAGGGATATTTGCAGTCTTATCGGCCATTAAATACTCCTACAGCACACAGGACAGTGCATATTTAAAACAAATAATTTAGAGTATGGTGCTCTTCCTGCAGGGAAGAAATAGATTCAGGCATTTATGCTTACATGGGAAGAAAGGAACTGTCATTTAGTCACCAATGTGGTATTACCTGAGCCTCCTGCTGGAGGTGGTGGTGTAGGATCTGGGAATGCGGCTGCTGATGCGGAGCTAGGATGTGCATGAATGGAGCTGGGGGGTAGGCGGCCGCTGTGGCTGGGTTGATGGGTCCCCCGCTTCCTAGGGCCGAGGGTAGGTTGAAGGACGTGGCTGGGGTGCCAGTGTGGAATCCCTGCTTCTCGAAAGATTGCTGAGGAATGAAATTGGGTGATCAAAAACATAAAATAGAACATAACACATTGTGTCTAATAAGACAGCAATCACATGCAGGGTATTTAACAAAAAAGTTTTGTGTGTGAATTTACATGGAGAATCGGGTTGGCTCCATTGAGCTGAGCATATCTGACAAAAGTTTGTGCTCATTGGCAGAGTGCGTCAGCAGCGTTTGATCTGCCTCACTTTAAGGGTCACTCCAAGAATTATAAACACGTCAGCGAGTCTGTATGTGCAGTGTTTTCCAATGAAACGCACATACAGAGTTTTACCACTTTGCTGCCAGAGGTTTAACTCAACTTCTGTCCATGTCATCAGCCAGTCCAGAACAAAAGCTCAGAGCTGGAAAATGTCAATTGTGTGCAAAATTCGATGCACAGATGCTCATTGGTTGACAGAGCAGGCAGTTGACACGCTCAGCCAAAGAGCGCAGGCTCGGCATCCGGCTTCTGAAACTCTGCAGAAGTCAAATTCCAGAAATCTGCCAAAGAAAATTCGGAGCATGGCAAAGCCCAGGTTAGAGGGCAAATCGTTGCAAAATGGTCTGCCCTATTACTTGGGTAAATGTCCAAAGAACTTCTACAGTGGGATGTAGTGGTTATAATGGTTGGAGTAATCCTTTAACAAAGACCTAAAGCTTTTCCCGTATGAGGACACTGGATGCAATGATGGCAGACAGGGAATTTAAGTTGCCGGACTGTTCTAAAATGGTTTGTTAGATTACTGTGGGTGAGACGCCAAAGCGCTCCGAGCACTATAACCATACAGCAGGTGGTACTAATTACTATAGTACTATGAATATTCTTTTAAAATTTTACGGTTGACATCTTCCTTGAGCAAACATGTTGGACCCAGAAACCAGTGATCCATACCACGGAATTAAATTAGTGAGGATCAACACATTAACATCACAAACGCCAGAGTCTTCTGGCACGGCCCTGCAGGTTGGGAGGCCATGGAGTCAGGTGCTAGAATTCAGAGAAATCAGGGTAACTTTCCAACTTGCGATACGCAGAATTAGGGTTTTCAAATGCATTTCATGACTATATTTAATTTAGCTGTTCTGCATTTGATTTAAAACGTAATTGTAATCCCAGACCAAACGTTTTCAATCTTGGCAGTATGTTTGGAAGCATCTGGCTCAGATTTCAGTGCTAATCTCGAACAAGTAGAACAAAGACACAATGCACAGCATAGGTAAAAAATCTGCATATTCATTTGCTGCTGGACACAATTTACAAAACATGTAATCCACAAGTTTTAGTATCCAAACACTGCGTGTGCCCTAACATCCACAAATGATTTAAAGTTACACCATGACTAGAGGGCTGCAGTCTATTTACCTTCACCACGACTGGAAATGTATAGGCCCTCTAGACTTAGTGCGTGCTAGAGTGATAGGAGTTAGCTGAACACTTTGCTGATGATAGACAGGAGAATGTCAAACTTTGGCCAAGCCAGTTATTAACCATGATTCCATAATTCACAGGAAATGACCTGTTGCAAGCCAATTCAAGAAAAGGTAGCACATAAGGACAAAGTATGACACCCCTGAGCAATTTTTGGGGGGAGACATTTTCCAAACACGCACTCAAGCAGCTGTCATGCTTTCTGCACAAACATACCTGTGTCTTAGAATAGACAGAACCAGAGATATCAGGCACTCCCGTGTTGCTAGAGGTGACCGACACACCTGTGGGGAAAGGTGATTTTTAATATATCACGGGGTGGAAGGGGTGACCCTTTTAGAGGTGTGTAACTTTCCCAGCAAAGATAACAAAATAAAACCAAAACCAAAAAAAATAAAAGACTATTTAGAAATGATCATTTCAAACAGAACTCAAACAATCTTCAGATGGCAATTTTAAAAGCTTTTTGTAAGCTGTTCTGTGATTCAATGACACACTAGCAAATAATGGGTTTAACATGCTTTTCTTGGAACTGAGAAAGCATTATGTTCTCCTGTAATAAGAACCCTCACTTCAGGCAACATCCAGTCTTTAGAGCTCCATAATAAGGCAGGGATCAGGCAAATAGAGACAAAAGTTGACAAAGGACTTCTCCCAACACAAAGCACCCTTAAAGTGTTTCTACTTAATCAGAGGGGGGCTTGTGCCAAGACATTTGCCATGGATAATGCTGGTCTCCTGCTTTAAAAAAATATATATATCAAAATTAAATGCAGGTCTCCTAGCACACAGGGTATGAGAAGTAAAAAGAATCAATTGCACTTTCCTCTCTCATGCAGAGGGCAAGAGAAACACACAGCACTATTGACGGAGTGCAGGCACAACGAGCCACCTTTGATCAAGTAGGAAGAGTAGTGAGCACGCATGTACCCTCTGCACTGTTATGGGCTTTGAAGACTGGATTTATCTCTGTTACACAGCTTTTAGAAGTTGTCCCACTGGGAGAGATACCGAAAGGTTTCACTGTCCCATTCCTCTCAGTAACACTTTCAGAAAAAGGGGAAGGAGGTGATGGGAAGGGAGGGAGATGCTAGGAAGTGAAAAGGAGGTAGTGGAAGAAATCACAAACTGAAACTGAGCAGACAGAGAGAGAGAGCACTTACCAGCGCCTGGTCCATTGGTGGAAGCAGCAGCAGGTTTATTCTGAGCAGCAGAAGCCCCACTAAATGCACCCTTACAGAAATCCCCCACGCCGGAAACCTGGCACAAGTCATCAAAGCCTGCGAACAGACACAGCCCTCAGCATGGGAAGCAACACACGCACCTCCAGACAACCAGAGCACCCAGTCACCAAGCACTCATGCACTCACCCTCCCTCGGTATCCCGGTCAATTAAAAGCAATTCAGGATCCACTTGGACTTTGACCAAAGGGCACAGGCTGTAAACCAGTGATGGGCACATTACACTTAAAGAGGTTAAACAGACAATCCAAGGACATGGTGGGGCCCTTAAACTGGCATGGGGCAGGGGATGCATACAGCTTCCCACCTGCTGCTGCTCAGACCACCAGAGGTGACAGACGTGTTGCAGTGAGGGACTAGGAAAGAGGTAAACAGGAGTAGCAGGGTGTGTGGGAGGGAAGGTGAAAGGAGATACCATAGCATTCAGCCACACAGAGGATGAACAATTCATTCCATCACAAGGACACACAGGGAGAGGTCAGCAGTTACAAAGTCCACAGCTCAGTTTTATTTTGATTGGGAATAGCTAACCCTGCAGCCAGTCATTTTTACCTGAGCCAGGGCCTAGCTTAAACCTTTGACGGAAAACAGACGTAAGCAACACAGCTCCCATTATATGGAAAGTCCTTCCACGTCTGTCTATCCTTAAGGCTTCATTTACATCTCACCAAGGTTCCAGCAGCTCTTCACTTAAAAATATCACCACTGGCCCCGTATTGGACAATTTATCATTTGATAATTAATGCAGCATTCAAAGTCAGCGGCTCTGGTCGTATGAATTAAAAGCAACCTAAAAACCACTCTCTTACCATTCTAGTTTCCTCCTGATTAAAGGAAACTTTATTTTACTTTTACTGAAATGAAACATGTGGACATGTATTATGGCCTCTTTGTTTAATATTTTTGTAATGTATTAATATACGCAAACACCTCTGCTCAGTGCATATATTGGTTAACAGCCATGCTCAGTGGTTTTGGTCATCCCTAAGAAGTCTTTGGCCAGAAGTAGCACTTATTCAACATTAAAGCGTGCACAATTTGAATGGCTGAAATAAGCTCAGGAAGTGTTTTGAGATGCCTAGCGCTTGGCATATTGTCAGGATTTGTGAGTGTGCTTGAACTCTCGGCTGTATCTATGCAGTTTTGATTAGGACTTAAATATGCCCGTCTACATGGCACAAGGTAAAGTCAAGAGATGCACTGAAAAGGTTTTATACGAAAGCATTACAAAATATTACACAGAGAATATTATATGCAATTTGTTTTCAATTATATGAGCTATCAATTGAAAACATCAGCTATTCAAAGAGCATTCACTTCCCTGTAGAACGTCCAGATTTGAAATGATTATGTAATAAATCAGCTCGTTTTTGTGCATGAAAATGATACGTAGCAATATATTTACTGTGTTTCTTTTTCCAAAGCTTTCAGGAAGAGACTGTCCAATAAAGATATTGGGCAAATCAGCCATTGGTTGTATTCTAGATCAGGAGTCCCCAAACCAGCACTAAAGGCAAACCATTAGTCCAGATTTTGCCAATATCCTCACAGAATCAGAATCTGGAAATGTCGAAATCCTGAACTGTTTGGTGCCTTGGTGGAAGCTACCGTTTTAGTTTTCCCATCAGAATCAAGTAAATTTTCTCCAGCGGCCCGACTCATTTGATTTGGGTGCACATGTCTTAAACTTGGCTGACCATTCCACTAAATAAATGTAGTGTAAAGAGCATGATACCTTGCTCAATACCTTTTTGGTGGTCCTGATTTAGATCTAATAGACACCAAGTGAGTGAATTATTTCGGGTTGATCCACTCAAGTAGTAGGTCTGGCTAATAGATCTTCCAACTGTTTGCCCACAGGAAATAACCGACATAAGCCCATGAGTTCCAAGCATTCCTTACCAGTGCTGTACCCATGTGACCCGTAGTTTGGAGCTTGCTGGAAGGCAGCAGCTGATGTGTTGACACCAACATTCACCCCGTGCTGTTTTGAGGAGGTAGGAGCCACCTAGTGGAGAGAAGGGAACAAGAAGCCGTGTAAGCTCAGGTAAGTCGCCCATTGAGTAACCAACCACACAAACCAAGTACAGGGCAGGTTACGGATTATATGCAAAATAAATCAAGATATAATCCAGCACAGACACGCGTTAGACTGATTTTTACTTTCCAACATCACAGAGACCATTCAATTCTCATCTTATAGAGAAGGTTTAGTGTACCCGCCGATTGCTACGGGTTGTGAATTAATGTGCCAACTGCAAATTAATTTTACGTTAATCTTTAAATGTGGGGTTGCGCCCTGACCCACATAACAAGTTTATGCAACAAGGTGCAGTAACAATCCCTGCCAGTGTATATGATTATCACAACTTTCATTGACCATGTACATGGAATCAAATGTATATCTGCAAGTGCACAAGGTGTTTAGTCGGATTTTTTTTTTTTAAAGTGGACTCAAATTAATGACAAAAGTGGGTACTGGAGAGGCTATAGATGAACAGTGACAATGTTTTACTGTACGTGTATAGCTATAGATTAAATGTTTGAAAAGTGTGATAAAAGTTACATTCACCAAGCAACGATGAGAAAACAGGCTTGTGAAGGACATTGTTTAGAAAGAAGCAGAGCGATGTAACTCACATGGCAGAAGAGCAGACGTCCTGGCTCCACCAGGAAGGTCTACAGATAACCAGTGAGATTTTGCAAACGCGAGCCCCCTACCCCAGACCTGTGCCACAGACAGAAGCCAGGCATGGTTCTCACCTCGCAGTGGAGAATTCTGGGACGTACCTGGAGTGTGCCTGCCAGATATAGGAGAGTCTCTGCTGCAGTATCATTCCCCTGGAGGCTCTAGCAGAGTGTGGGGAAGTCAGAGGTTAAATTGGAGGGACAAAGCTGTCTCACTACCAAACCTGCAGAGGGATGGGGGGAGGGGGGACAGCTGAGTACACTACAGTTATTAAGGGCTTGGAATGCTTAAGGCAGTGAGGGAAGCACTCAAGACTGGGGGAATGAGTTAACCACATTCAATAATGGCAGACAAGAACCTTATCGATAAACCTGGTTATTTCCCTGCCTTTTTATGAAAATTTTTAATAGTTTAAAATTACCTAGAAAAAAAATACATTGTTTTAAAAAGACAGTCCACACACACACACACACACATTACAATTTAATATAAAACAATACACTTTTTCCCCCTATTAAAAACAAAAAAAAATATCTATGTTAAAATTCCCAATGAAATTACTCAGGACTCAGTTGCTGAATTTTTTCAAATTTATAACTAAAACATAAGTGACCCCCAGAGAAGTTTATGAGGCTCATTGGAGCATATTCTCTACTAAATATGATGAAGACAAACTAAAAACGTCCATAAAACTAATTTAATTTTAAAAAAAACACACACAAAAACAACAGGACCAAACAGCAGCTGGTTTCTAGACAGCCAGGCTTTGTGGTAGGAGTAAATCAGCAGAAGGCTGCCAAGTGCAGCAGGAAGGAGGACGACAGCTCGAGGAGAGCACATTGTCAGCTTTTATTGAAAATACTTTTATTAAGTATCAAGATTATTTACAATCAGGCACAAAAAATAGATATAAATATAACAAAACAGGTTACAAAAACAGGAGAACAGCAGGGTATTTTAAGACAGTGGTCAAAGATCTAGTAGTAAGGCCTACACAAGCCACCCACCCTCCCAATGTGCAAATTGCTGATGCCCTGTCCTCTAAACTGCATGTCTCTAATATCTTGTGATCTAGTACAATATTCTAATCTTTAGCAGTAAAACTTGGGATCTTGAGATTAGCATTCTGTGTTTGAGGTTCAGACAGAATACACGATCTCGAAAAAAAAAAAAAAAGAAAAAAAAAGTAGGTAGACTGTTTTCAAGGATTCTTCCACTGCATAACCAGAATAACTAGCAAACGTGGAGAGAAGACGAGATTACCACTTGACAGTTCAATCCCATCAGTGAAGTCGTCAAAGTAACAGCATATGAAAATGAATTCCATCCTCCGTGCTGTGATGTGCATACAAGGCTGTCCTCCGGAGGTCTCTGAAGAAGACGGGATGCAGTTGTACCTATGCCACTCCTATAATTTTCCAAACAGTTCACCTAAATGAACCAATTTCTAGCAAATCAGCTGAATGATATTACATACTACGAACCAAACTCAAACAAATCCAGAACACAGCTCAGAAAGGTCACAACATAAATCCTCTGTTCTACTGCGGATCACGAAACCCTAATCCAGGCCCCCCACCCCTGGCAAACACTGACTTGAGAGCAACCACTTTGTAAGGGAAGAAAAAAAAAAAAATCTATCCCTGAAGTTTGCAGTGCAAATTCACAGCTATTAAATGACTCTGTATCTTTAATTTATGATTGTGAACGGGACAATTTATTTAAAAAAAAAAACAAAAACAAAAAAACAACCAAACCACTCCTCAAAATGATTGAGTCAAGCAGGGAAATACATATAAGGGTATCAAAACGAGTAATCCTCTAAATTGTCTGATGCAGAGGACAAGCAGCTAAACCGTACTTCTGATACGCTAAAATACGAACATTCTGAAGCAGATTAACAGATTTCCCACAAGGAATTAAATACCAAATCTATATAATAGTGCTCTCACACATACAAAAAAAAAATAAAAAAAAAATGAATAACCCAAAAACATAATTTTTGATTTTCTTGCAATCTAAACTCAAACACTGGAGGGCTGCATCCATTTTATTTGCATTAAGCTCCATTTTCCAGAAAAGTCAACATAAGTCTGTGCAATGCAGGATCTGATGATGTCTTAATGACCAACTAGTTGGATACTTTCAAAATTAATACATCGCAGGTTTTTTTTTTTTTTTTTCAAATCTTAAGGGTGCTTCCAACAACCCTTAAGCCAGGTGTGTGTTCCTTAAACAGAAACGGGGGAGAGATAATCTAATAATCAGCATAAGGATAATTATTATTATTTATTTTTAAGGTGCCTTTGGTGAAGCGTCACTTCCCCCAAATGTCTGCTAACCACGACCCGCCCTTTGAATGTCACTGGTTACTATTGAAATGCACACTCACTGGGAATACGGCGGGCCCATACTGGAAAGTGCTGGGTAGACCCGGTACCCCGGTGTAGTAGGGCAGACTGGTGTAGCTGTATCCGGGTGGCAGGGCCGGATTAAGGAATGTTTGTTGCGTTGTATGGTGACCTTGCGTCTGGCTTTGCTGGGGTTGTGCCAGCGTTGTTGCTGGAGCAGGGGAAGAAGTGTCTCCTCGGCCGAACTTAGCAAGCTCTCCTGTACAGAATACATTGTAAAATTAATTAGCACTCTTCAAAGTCATCTAACAAAATTCATTTTATCCATGCAATAGGATGTGCCTCAAACAAGGAAACGGACTTAACTAGTATTTAAAGATCATACAATATACTGTTGAACCAATTAAACACAACTCAAAAGCCCAAACTAGCACGCCCCCTAATTCAGCAAAGAAAAATTATTTTAAAGTGAACCATCAATTTTTATTCTTGCACTGCAAGAGTTATGTCAATGTTTATATAAAAACACTCAGTAGTGCTATAGAGACTTATAGTCAGCATTTTATCCTCCAGTTTGGTGAGAGCTAGCTACTAATCTTGCAGACTGCTTTTGCAGGCATTTTATTTTTAAATTTCTTGTTTTTAGAAAATTTTAAATGCACTATTCATAGAATGAATTAAAATGATCAATTTGGCTTGTGCTGTCATTTTAATTTTCCATGTTTAGAGCCCACTTCCATATGGCTCCCTTACCCATAATTCCCCTCAGAATAATGTTGTATATTCAATATATCGGACAGCCAGTGAGAAATTCTCAAAAAAAAAAAGAAGAAAAAAAGACAAACCTACACTCCACGGTAAAGGGCAACCACCCAAAAATAGTGACACTTACTTGAATAAAAAAAAATAAAAAGATGTATTAGCCATGTAAACCAAGTGCTGCTATTTAAGTAATTTAAGTAAAGCTGGCCCTTTGCATGGGGTCCAGGTTTTTTCCCTTAAAGGAGTAGTATGCAGTCTTGGTATTGCAGGTCTGCTGCATTAGTGTCACTGACTATAATGAGGTTGCTTATACAACATGCAAGCTGCAGGCATGGACATGTCTAAATTCCTTCTTAAAGCATTGACCCTGGAAAACGCCAGAAGACAGGGTAGGGTTTTGCAGTAAGGTCAGATCCAGTAAAGCAGAATGAAGTACACATTACTTACCTGAGTAAGGGTTACTTGTCAGGCTGGCATCCCTTCCGGTGAGTGGAGTGTTGGGTGTGGGAAACGGGATACTGTAATAATCCTAAAATGAGAAAATTGGACGTAATTACAGACCTCTACAAAACCACGCAAACATCGAAAAACAAAACGAGGAAAACGCGAGAAGATTTAGATTAAATACTTACCAAGGGGAATCTTGTCTGCAGCATTTGCAGGTCATCGTAACCATAAACCTGTGGCTGAAAAGAAACATATTAGCCTGGGCAAACACAGCAAGGTTTCTTAATGTTGATCTCTGAGATATAAGCCTTCTCCTTTTAGCAGATACACTAGTGGAGTAGACTACACTTGACTCAATCCCTCTACGGAACAATTGTACAGTGCACATAAGTACCAGCAACCACCCTCACAGGCTTCGCGCTGATAAAAAAAAAAGCTGTGCAGAGGTCAAGATTGAGCATGAAGGATGTCTGCAAACTTCTAGCACTGTGTATTAATAGTTTATTCAATAGTTCTACTCAGATCTGAATTAATGGAACACTCCACTACCCAAATTATAAGAAACAAACAAAAAACTGTCACTTTTATAAAGGTCAGTATTATGGGATACTCCATACCATGAAGCATTTCAGCAAGCAAAAAGCTTTATGGGTGTGGAATGGTCCTATAATGTTAGTAGGGACTCAAATACATTGATATACAATAAAAAAAAAAAATTGATATTGCATGACAATGATCAGCCCCTGCATAGTATGTTGGCACTATATAAATAACGGTAATGGTAAAGCTAGGCGAATGAGAATCTGCAGTACATGTGGTACGGCACAAAACCCAGAAAACAGATATTTTAAGACAGCAATCGACATATGTAGGAGCTGGAAAGAACAAGGCCAGACTGATCCGACCACATCTTATCCAAACTCCACGATAATCTTGCATGCTCTGTCCCCCTTCTCAGCCACATGAAAAAGCATGGAAGGGTCAACTGGCATGCAAAACAAGTCTGCCCCCCCCCCAGCCCCAACATAACACAAACAGGCACTTACGGGATACGCGTGTAACAGACCAGGAGCCATGATGTATGGGTTTGGTAATAGCGGTGGAACTCCGGGGGGAAGATTTGGAGGTGCTTTACCTGCAAGACAAGAACGGTGAAATGAGCAGTGTAAAATGGACAAATATCTAAACTGCACCGAACAACTACAAATTCATTCCCATAATACAAAAATCACCATTCATCATCGAAATACAATATGACTGCAGTCACTAAAGGAACACTTCAAGAACCATATCAATCATAACACATTGTAGTGGTTGTGGTGCTAGAGGTGCCCAAGCGCCATCTCCATTTTAAGTAGTCAAACTGCTGTAGAATTGATCTTCAATAGCATTACTGAAGGTAGGGGTAGTAAGTAGACCCCATGCACATAAATAATTCTAAAATGATTGGGGTAGGCATAATTTGAGGGATGGTGGGTACTCCTGGCACCATAATCACTACATTGTGCTGTGGTGTTTCTTGAAAAGAATGAGGGTGCCAGGGAATTCATTTTTTTAATGAATGTTATCAATACAGTTTAGTTCTTCCAATCGGAGTCCAATCCTCCCCGATTTACATAGTAAAGTACCTACTTTGGCTGTTTCGTTTAGCAAAAGCCAAATACTTGTATTTTTTTATGGATCAACAGTCACTGGAGTAAAGACGCATTGGACAGTTAGAGACGGGCATTCCAAAACAAGTACCTGATGTGGTAGCGATGGAGCTCCGCGTTGATGGGACGATGTTGGAGCTACTGCTCAGCCCAAGCCCCAAACTGCTGACATTCAGGCTAGAGGAGGAAGATGCCGGGGGAGCGGTGGGAACATTGCTAGAGGCGGTGGAGTAGGTGGTAACGGAGGAGTGCAAGCTAGTTTCACTTTCCACATTCGTATGCTGTGGGTCAAAAGAGCGAGAGTTAATAAAAATCGATAAACATTCCCAAATAGGATAAAAATGGCGGCTTATACAGGAGCAGAATGTAAACACACCCTGCACTCCACACGAGGAAGACAAAAGAATGAAAATATGGCCTGTCTCAGACAGAGGGAGTGCCAGGGACACAAGGCTCCCAATATTTCAATATAATCTGCATTGAGGCAAGCCATCTGAATATTGAAATATGCATCATATCATATGAAAAAGCAGGCTTGTCTTGACCAAACCTTTGAGGATTCGAGTGCTTTTCTACTTTCCATGTTACATTATAACGAGTATTTTGCCAAGGAAAATACTTATTCTACAACTTTGATAAAACTTGCTTGTTTCAATGTTTGCCTAGAGCACAGAAGGAATTCCTCCCCCCATCCACACACCCCCCCAAAAAAACACACAAAAAAAGTGGGATTTCTAGTAACATTTAACAACATTTGAAAAACTCTAATATACGGTTTAAGAGTCTACAAGACTCATGTAACTACACACCGCTACAGCCAAAAGTTTCATACTAGTTCATAAAGAGGAAATCTAAAAAAAACAAGACATACCAGAAAAAAGGCAATTGTCTGGATGCTGCAAAGCAATCAGCCAATAGTAGAAGGATGAAAGCCAGCAGGCCAATCCAGATTGCTGTGGCATTCACTGTCCCCCCTTAAAAGCTATGTGAGTGAGCTAGAAAGGGTCTACTGGAATGCTAAACAACAGCCTAAGGATGAACTGACTTACCAGGGGAGTAGAGACAGACGTCCTCACTGTGATGGGTACAGAGGTCTGATGCTGTGAAGATAACGTACTGTGGGTAAAATTATATAAATATTAGTCTTGCCTGAACCAGAATAGATATCAAATGTCTAAAGAAATACAACTTTTCCTTTGATTGCAGGAACGCAGTGTGCAGAGTGTAAGATATTTATCTACATGCCAAAAAAGTAATTTGACATGTAGGTACTGGGAATAAAACAGATATGGAAAACCAGTCCCAATGAATTAGACTGACATGCTTGGACATGACCAGGATAGGTTCCATGCATTGAGAAGATTTAAATCTGCCATTAACTAAGGACGGATTGGTTTTAAGACCTTCCACTTACATGCAGCCTAGGGAGGTGAAAAGAAAAGTGAACAAATTTAATAAAAGTGCATTATTTACTACACAAGAAAAATAAAATTAGTAAAATTGCATTATATATTACGCAGCTACATTGGTGAAGCAGAAAACATGCTGCAAATATTGGAATGTGTTTTTAGAGACACAAAGCTTTTCTTTATAATACAAAAGCTACAAATCTTATACGTTTACTCATTTTCTTTACATATACTCTCTTTGCCGCTCCCTGGCATTATGTAATTGGAAGAACTATTCAAGGCAGTAATAAACAAAGACATTTGTTTTTTTTTTTTTAAAAAGACTGACGCCTATTTAAATAAAAAAAAATTTAAAAGCCAAATGAGTCAGTAGATGGATACAGAACCACCATTAAAAGCAGGACAATGAGAATCCTTTGGTTGATACATTTTGCATCAAGCTATTCATAGGACACACAAGAATTTATCGCTGGTTTTCCTCTGCCCAAATGTAAAATATGGTTTTCTTTAACTAAAGCACTTGGAGCAGAATCGCTTCTTTGGGACCAATATAACTATGACGAAGTACCTGCTGAGCTGTGTGCTGACGCTGGGGTTTGGCAGATCTTCGGTGTGACTCAGGGTGCTCATTTGGGAAGAGTGTGGCCCAGCGGTAGTCAGTAAAGAAGATGCAGAGTCACTGAGGGTAACTATGCTGCTGGCAGAGGGTGAATCTGCCTTTACAGAAGTTGCAGAGGGAGCTAAAAAAAACAAAAAAAGATAAATGCTTAGAACACAATTTACAGCTTACATTATGTTTCTACTTCTTGACTGTTGCTCATTGTTATTTTAATGTGGATAGTAATGGGCAAGATTAAACAAAACAAAGGAATACCCAAATATCCATTGCATTCGACACGCCTGCTATAATGAGTAGCTATAATTTTTCAAAATGCTCAATTTGTGTGGGTTCTACAAGATCATCGGGTATTATGGATATCCCTGATTGAACTTGCAAAGCCCTTTTTACTTTTGCATGCTCTGTCCCCCCTTTAAGTCTATGTGCAGTCAGAAAGGGTCTACTGGCGTGCTTGGCTCCTGAAATATTATATATATATATATGTACACACACACACACAAACAAAATCAGATGCACTTACCTTCCACTGATACAGATGCCTGCAATGTGGCAGCTGGAACAGAGCTGAAGCCATTCTGCAGAAAAAAACAAAAAAACAAATAAAACTTGATATGAGCATCAGAAAGATTTAAAAACAGGACCACAAAATGGCTCAAGATATCTCAAACTAATGATATGGCTGGTCTCTGGATGCTGTGTAGTCCTGCCCCATTAATGCATGTTTGTGTGTGCATGGAGAGGGGGGATATCTAAGCTATTCCCTTAAGGTTTATATTACAACTGAAACTAGTCTCAAATTTACCTTCAACTACTTTCTTACACCATCACAGTTAGATAAGAAAGTGCAAAGTATAGGCTACAAAAAAATTTAACTTTGTCTGGAGTGGCGGGGGAGGAATGATGGGGTGAAATATTTAGTCTGTGGCAATTAAAGTCAGGGACTATCATAGCACCATGGAGCCGACATGTATGGTTAAACTTAATTAATTGATTTGATGATCAACTTATAACAAATGCGTTATTATAAATAGGAAAGCCTGTGATGATTTGTTGAAGGTGATAAGCTCAGTTACAATGCTATTCTATTTCATAGACTCACCTTTGACTGGCTAAGCTCCTTCTGTGGGGAGGAAGAGGATGAGGAGGAGATGGGATTCTGGTAGCGTCGGGTCTGTGTGGCCCTCTGTTCGTAAAGAGGACCCTGTGAGCTGCTCTGAGAGGTAAACGTTGCGGTCTGTGAACTGCTGCCCTGATAAACAGACTCCGAGCTCTGATTAGTCACCACAGAGCTGGATGATTCACTGCAAGAAAAAGTACTTTGCCAATTAATACCTATGCAATTTCGATAGAAATGTGATACAGTTTAACAGAAGGCAAGTGTTTGTGCTGCAGAAGTCCAACAGATAAGGATACCTGATGGTTTTTCCACACGCACCGTTAATGTCACACAAGCTGTCCCCCCTTAATGGCTACAGACACAGCCAGAAAGAGTCTACTGTTGTGTACAAGAGAAAAGTGTGTGACCTTGAGGCTGTGTTCAAGGGCAGCCCATAATAACTAGCAGCTGTCATTCTGCTGAGATGGTCTCACGTGACAAACTGGGGGCAAACCCTTATCATGAAAATATTGTATGTATGAACTACAAGACAAGTAGCGAGACGTGGAAATAAAAAGGCTGAGAGGACGCATTTAGCAAGTGAAGACTTGAAGAGACAAGAGGTTTATCCTATAAAGCTTTTATTAGTTATATATGCAGAATAATTTAATGGATTCTTTAAAACACAGGGGAAAAAAAGTGGAAAATCAAACACCCCATGCACACTCAACAAAAACCAATACATTTCCATTGTTATTGTTTAAGTTTACCAGGTGAAATTAATGTATAAAGAAAAACAGAGGAGACATGGTAGCACTCAATTTGGTGTTTATTTTAGGAAATATTTTGGTTAATATCCCCATATTGGCTGTACTCTACCTTGAGGGGCTGGTGTACAAGCTGTTCTGAGTTTGACTCACAGCCACGTTGGTTGTGGGAGAATTCTCATACTCTGGTAGAACTGGCTCGGAGCCAAATTGCAAGGCCCCAAACTGCAGGTTGAGCCCAGAGATATCAGACGACCCAGGCATTTCCACGGCAAGAGCTGGAATCTGCAAATGAGAAAATGCTTAATTAAGGGATTTAAACCCAAAAAGACTGCCAACGAGAAAAGACTTTCCAGAAGTCGAGGCACATGTCCACAGAAGCCATTCTTTACAAAGCATCATTTCCAGCATTCTAAGCCCCTTACGTGTGGATGTGTGTCAGCATACCTTAGATGTTAGAGAAGCCTTCTTTTTCTGTTGCTTCATTTTTTGCTGGGCTGGCTGTGGGCTGCCAGACTGCATTTCAGATGACCCTGGGGACATTTGTTGAGCAGAAGTGGGCTTTACGGGCAGAGGTGAGGACGGGCACACTGGTACGGCTGATTGCACACTGACTGCAGGCGTCTTTTCCTGCAGGTAAGCCTCCATCATTGCAGAGGCTGGAGGGAAGCCTTGGCGTTTGTTGAATGGATCCGAAGAGCTTTTCAGTTCTGCACAGATATAGCCAAGGTATGTGTTACAAATAACTAATAAAGAAAAGTTAGATGCAACTTCAATTCCACAAACATAAGAAGGCAGTTATGACACAAACATAAGAAGGCAGTTATTCAGACTAGCGAACACCTTAAGAGTTTGCTTTAAGTGCATTCTAGAGATTGCTAGAGATTTAAGCAGGATATTGCAATAAATATTGTTTATTTAAACAGAGCTGTAAGTCTGCCACAGGATGATCAGGCCTGAAGGTGTCTGACATCACACAGCAAAATCACATTAATTTTGCATACACTGTCCCCCCTTCTTGGCTACAAATTCAGCTAAAAAGGGTCTACTGGTATGCAGGGCACCACTGTTTTTCGGAGTTGAAATTGATAGTATGGCACTGTTAGTGGAGATCACAAACCCAATATAGAAGTTGCTTCAGACACAATAAAATGCATAATAGTTAAAAGAAAAATTCTAATGTAGTCCCCGAGCAAACTTACCATATTGACCAAGAGAGGGAGACTGCGTTGAAGAACTAAGGTCCCATGAGGTGCTACTGGTGGCTTCAGACTGGGAATGCTGCACAGCCAGTTGGGCCAGGGCTTGAGCCGTCTTAAATTGCTCTAGAAACTGAGAGCCAGTGGTGCTACCACCTTTGGACTCCCCATCACCAAAGTTCTTACTCAACATGCTGACCTGTGAATGTGAATAGGACATTCTATTAGCACCAAATGTTGTGTTGTCAAGCTTACTAGTTGTTTGAACTGGTGTAGAGATGAAGGAAAATGTTTCATTCTATACGTCTCCTAACAAAGAATTTATTTTTGATGTACTGTACACACATCATCACATTAAAGGAATTTTCAGACAACCAGGACAAAATGATACTAGAACGTTTTCAGAACAATTAAACGTACCATGTTATGGTGAGAGAAGCTGGTCACAGAGCTAGGCTGGGAAATTGGACTCTGCTTGGAGTTGCTGAACACAAGAGGCTGTGATAAGGTGGCATTTTGAGAAGACTCAAGACCAGATGACTCATTTTCCAGAGATGAAGGACTCTTCCCCAGCAATACAGCTAAGTCAATCCTGCAGAAGGAACAGTAAAAGTTTTAAATAACATGTGTGCGGCTGTGCACGGGTCTAAGAGACATTGTCAAGGGACTCACCTTTGCCCAGCAGTGATCGTGACACTTTCAGAAGGAAGAGGCGCAGATGCTACATTAGAAGCTGTGAAAATCTTGGTCTCTGAAAGCTGAATATGGGAAAGAATTTAATAAATAAAAGCGAAATAAGCAATATTCAGAGTCTACACTGGAGCCATTCTTATACATAAACTAACCAATTCCTAGCTATTAAACAGCCCTACATAATGATGTAATTCCATGAAAGTGCAGAAGCCAGACTATTTGGAGTGTAAGCAACACCCAGAAATATCTGCCAATGTGCTTTGTTTGCTTTCAAATATTATATTTGGGCTGCAAATAAAAACTAGCCGTTTTTGTGATTCAAAAAAAAATTCAAAAAGCACAAAGTTCAACACTAAACCACTGAATTGTAGCGTAAATTTTGCCAATTGGATATCAACTCAGTATGATTCAGCTGACAACAGTCAGTGAATGCCATCCGCATGCATATGAAAATGATATAGGGAAATCACAATTACAGAATTAGCAAAAACAACAAAAATGAGGCTTAGTCTGTGTCAGACCAATCAAGAAATGTTTGATGCAGAACTCGGGTACGGCTTCAGGGAAATGGTGGCATAATTACTAATGCACACTATGAGAGCGCAAATGCATTGAATGAGAAATGAATTTTTTATAAAAACGTCCATAAAACAAATTCTTTAAGTTTGAAATAGTCTCCTGATAGTTATATGATTTCTATCAATACAGATCTTTTTTGTTTTGTTTTTTCAGAAACCCCAGATTATTGCAGTAACTTACATCTTCATTCCAGTCCTCTGTGCCCCATTCTTCTGTGGCTGTCCTCCAGGCACCTAACAGACAGGGAAATGGAGCAGAGAGTGTCAACAGAAGCTTACCCAGCGAGACAAGTACCAGGAAGGAATCTATCATTCAAGAAGAGTCCTAACCAGTCATAACAATACATAACACCAATTAATACACTGCCTGCTCACTCGCATATTATTTAGATATACAATACCCCATTCACTAAACAAGAGTCAAAGTGATGCTATGCAATTCGACAGTATCAATTAGATAATGAATTTGAGGGTTACCCCAGCAGACACAAGGAATTAGAAAACCTTGTTGTAAACAAAACACAAGATAAGAATGGACCACTCTAATCAAAAGTAGGTCTCCGGCTTCTAGTGGCCTTGAATTGCCACAAATTCCTTGCCAGACAGTCTCACCAAACGGCGGCAAAGGATCATGGGAAACAAGTCCAGTAAGGCCTGAAGTATGGTAAGAGATTATTGTTCTTTTTTCTTGTCACAAATGAGAGTAACAAAAACTGCTAAATTCTGACATTAGAACGGAAACATCTGCAAGCATGGTGGCAGTAAATGGTATTTTCTCTAATATGCACCACCATATTTCCACCTGTATAAAACGTAAAACAATGATTCTCTAAAGCAGCGAGTACAAAAGTCTCCTATGGAAAGATATAGATTAGGCAGATTCACGGGAGTGCGTCCTGTGCTAAAGGACAAGTATGTCAAACTGTGCTTTGAGCAGGTCTCATTCTCTAACACACTAAATAGCATTACACAAGGCTAGTTCCAATACATACATGAAGCTACAGATAAAGGCCCATTAAAAAGAAGTTGCTTGTCTGAGATCTTGGATCTTATAATTATAAACGTCTCATTGAAAACTAATGCAATACAATGAGGGTCAATCATAGATTGAAAGCCTCGATTCAGTTCAGTTCACAAGAAAAAAAAAAGTTCATTAAACAATGTGATATTAAAAATGTGATTGAAAATTTAAGGCAAGACAAGCCAAATAAAGAAAATGTCTCCAAGTCAGCTCTGTTTCTAGTTTGGCCACTTTGGCCTTAAATTTTAAATTCACATTCAGGGTTATTCACTGAAATGAGTAATTGTTAAATCAAAACTGTAAACAGAACAGACTTTTTGTGTGTGTCTATTTTGTTCTAAATGTTTTAATTCCAAGCAATGCTTACTTTTAGTTGATGTCCATTTTTGATTTCTTGACCATTTTCCCTTTAGTGAATAACCATATTAGTTCTAACTTTGAAATCTTTATTCTAGGTTTAAATGGACAACTCATCTTTAAGGCACATTCAAAATACTATGTACCTGCGTTACGGACATAGGTAAAAACCATGCATGTTAGCCCCTTCCAGAATTCAATTTCCTCTACTATATTAGGCAGTGATATACAAGAACAATTTAATGTTAACAGTCATCAGAAAGCTATGTGCTAAGCACAATGAAATTGCATTTAGAAGGGTAAATTTCAGGGCTGGATCAAATTACTGTGAGAGGGAAACTGGTACCTTACATCACTGAAATGGTTACCGACGTAACATTTAAAAAAAAATAAAAAAAAAATAAAAAGCATGCTAGAACACACAGAACATGTAACTCAATGTTTTCTAAAATCTAACTTCTCATTTTTATTTTATATTTTTAAAGGGAAGCTACAGCCCCAAAACAGCTTTTTTAATGAAGCCGTTTGGGTGTATAGATCATACCTCTGAAGTCTCCCTGCTCAGTCATTTAGGAGTTAACTTTTGTTTCTGTAGCCCTAGCCACACCTCCCCCTGGCTGTGACTTACACAGCCTGCATGAAAACAAAATGGTTTCATTTTCAATCAGATGTAACTTATTTTAAAGGTTTTTATCTCCTGCTCTGTAAATTGAACTTTAAACACGTACAAAAGGCTCATGTAGGGTCTACCAAGCTATTAAAGAACAAGATAATACATTCTAAATTAAATCAGAATTTGCAATGAAGTGTAAACATTACATGACTCTTTACAGGAAGTGTATAAGTCACATGCAAGGAGGTATGACTAGGGCTGCATAAACAAAGTGATTTAACTCCTAAATGGCGAACAGCGTCAAGTGGAACAATGAGACTATACACCAAAACTACTTTATTAAGCAAAAGTTGTTTTGGTCACTATAGTGTCCCTTTAATGTTTTGTTCTTCTGGACATGATCACAACTCACACTTTATGCCCAAGAAAACAGCAAAGAACAAGATGAACAACAGCCACTAATAATGCTTGAACACATCATAATACATCACACAACGTCAAGTCATTGGGTCCAACCTCCACCTGATTGTTACCAGAAATAAATCACACATAAAGCAGACACAGACTTCTTTACATGATCAATATTAAGTCTGATGTCTTCTGCAAGATTTCAAATCTATGTGAAAAGCTACCATCTTGGTTGGTAATCCATGCCAAGGCTCTACTACGACACAGCACTCTCCCCCTGAATGTGACACTATAGATTCTTGCTATAGCACTTGTCTCTCCCTTAAACCTGCTTCCCTCCTTTAAGATGCAGCATCTATTAAAAGTGCAGGAAGGGCAAGATTACGTACACACAGCAAATAGAAATAAAATCAGAAATAAAATCAAAGGGTTATCAGGGGCTGTGTGAGCACCTGGATGTGTCATACCAGGAGCAGTGGAAAATTTTCGGGGATAATTTGACCCCTCACCCCCAATGTAATCAAGTCCTGAAACAAAAAGGGAAAAAAACACAGTCAGATTGAGGCAAGTGCTGATTTTCTCTCCTATGTTTTCTCCTCCCCTGATGTGATTTACCATCTTATCTTTCACCCTCTATAATTAAATGACCCCAAGGAACAAAGGGTAAGGATCTATTTGCATACAAAACAATCACAAACAGAGGAGGTCAAAAAAGGGATTTTGAGCAGTTTGACTATTAATGGAAACATTGAAAATGCAATGTATACAGAAACAGAGTAACACTTAAAGGAGGTTTCGGAGTTGTGGCCTTATTGGTGAATTGGGGGGAGGGGGGGTTATACTGGCCCTTTTGGAGTCAGTTGCACAATCCGTGACTTATATTTGGCATAGTGGCTTTGCTAAAAACAATAAGGTCTTGTAGATTCAATGGTGCAGTAGAAAGAAAACCAATGTCCTGTCATTTCATTGGGCAACGGTAGAAGGAACAGTGTTTGGTTCCATTGGCAAAAAGACAAAGACTAGGTCTTGTGTCTTTATTAGTACAAAACAGAAACGATAAAGGAAAGGGCTTTGTGGCTTCAGTGGGGAGAAATCACAACCTGTCTTCATTCAGCATACAAGAACTGAATAACTCATCTAGTCTGCTCATTACGTATCCTCAGTAAACAGCCTGATGTGTGTTACTTACTTGTTCCATCGTCAGGCTCGAAGTTGGATGTATTATTCCATGTGCTGTTATTTCCATAGCTATCCTCGGCATTGGAAGGCTCAGCATAATCGGCAGGGTTAAATGTCCTGAAATAGAAGACAAGCTTGGAAATAGAATCCAGTTTCCTTGTCTCTCCAATACACACACACACATATATATATATATATATATATATATATATATATATATATATATATATATATATAAAAAAACAGGAATAAAATCACTACTTACCCCATGCCTTGAGCAGAAAAGCGACCTCCTCTCCTTCCAGAGCCTCCTGTAACGGAAACATAAATTAATCTTTAACATACATTGCAGGAAGTTCTCATCTCCCAACTACAGACACTGCACTACAGATTGTAAGTTCCTTGGACAAACCCTCCACATGTTAGTTAATGGTTAAGTCTCTGTTCTGCAGTGAAATATTTAGTAAAAGGTACCAAAGACAGTCTTCTCCATTTCAGCTGTGGATTACAAACTTATTGGGTTTCTGTCATAACACTAGATTGAAAGCATCATGAGGCGGTTTTAACCACAATATCTCTAGAATAAGATTCCTGGGACAGCGCATTATATGGATTGTACTATGTCATTGTACTCAAATTTTCTTACAAACTACAATCACACAATCTATCTCACCTCTGCCTCTTCCGCGACCCCGCCTCCCCCGTTCTGTGCCTCGGCCAGATGAACCACCAGTTTTGCCACCTTCCAAGCCATTCTCCTGTGCCCGGACTGAAAGACAAAACATTGCATGCAGTAAAGTAGATGCAAAATGCATGGAGGAAAGTCAAGATATAGGACCATGTGTTCTGTGATAACAACCAGGTAGAAGTCCTGACGTGTTCATTGTTTAAAATTTCAGATACAGCATACAGAATAAATATCTTGCACAGAGTAGTGAAAAGATAAGTGAGTTGGGTACACATCCACAATGCACATACATTTTAAGGAACACTACAGCATAAGGAATATAAAATCAGTATTCCTAACATTATAGTGCCCCGCTCCCTCGCTCTAAGTAAAAGCACTGGAAAAAAGTAATCTTACTAATCTTTTTCTAGTGCTGGTGCACCCTGAGCAATTTCAAACACAAACACTTTCTTCACAACTAAAAACTAAAGTGCTACATGCATCAACATGCAACTGCTACAAAACTTTAATAAGAATTAAATATTGTTGTCATGTATGTAGACTGAATTTCACATGGCTCAATGGATGAATATTGGGTTGTACAGGACACCATTCTTCATGAAATTATGCCTGATATTAATGTGACTTACACTCTCTGCCACGGCTGGCCCCTCGGACTCTCCTGGGAGCTCCTCCGCGTCTCCGGCTGTAATCTCGCTCTCTGTCTCGGTTCTCTCGCCCCTCTTCACTGGGCTCAGTCTGCCCCACTTCTTTCTGTCCCGAAACTCCTTTTTTCTTTCCCACCATCTCCCACGAATGCTGTGAATAAGGAAGATTTTCATACGGAAAGGACAAATGAATGGCCATTTGACGATTGCAAACTCAGCTACTGAGTTTTTTGGATGATGAAAAAGTAAAATAAAAACATTCCTAGGGCGTGCTAGGGATATAGCATTTTTAGTTAAAAGCCTTCACCAAGCTGTTCACCTCACTGACAGGTTATAAACAACTTGGTGTGGCTCAGTCAAGCAATGTGTGTGCCAAAGAAACCTCTGGAGAAAGATGGCTACTGATGAGAGAAGGCTGAAGAATGGCCTCAGCTCATCTCAAAAACCATATGCAAAGAAATCAAAAGTTAGAGATATTTTACCCAATAAGTTAATTGGCATAAGCAGCTTCTATTAAATGGGAGATTTAACTAAAGGAGGACTAAAGAACAACATATATCCTGTAGCTAAGATTGTGATCTAAACAGCACAGTTTTATCATCTATAGACAACATGAGATTAGAGTGAAAAAAGTAGGGATAAAAGGCCTAATTTAAATATCCGGGAGAATACAAACTTTGCCTATAAAGTGGTGGTACAGAAGGGAGCACAGTCTTATTATTCGGTTTATTACATTGTTTTGCACAATGGAAGTTAAACACTGATTAAATTCAAAGTTTATTATAATTACAGTGTCTGGATTTCCCTCCAACAAGACATTGATGGCTCTGTTGACGTCCCCATTGCAGTCGTGCAATGCGATAACGCACTCATCTTGGTTCTTTCCTGTGATGTCAATTAGCTGCAAAGATAAACAGAGCAGGGATGTACATTATGAAACATTTATGATTGGTATAACTCTCAATGAGGATCCACGCAACTTGGACCCGCTCTGCTATTTCCACATCAACCCGAACAGCTAAGGGTGGCAGTGTCATCTGAACGTTTTCTTCCACACCTCCAGTGTTGGCGGCGTGTGAAATGCAAATGCTAAAAGAATGCAAACTTTTCCAGTTTGTTTAATTGCCGGAAACTGGTCTGGTGTATTAAAAACCACTAATTGCATAACATGGCAAAAGTCTATTTAAATTGATTGTGTTTGCCCTATACTTTGTGCTAGTCAAAGGGCTAGTAAATGTTTAAGCTTGAGAGTAACATGTGGTTAAAATAATTAAACCACTGTGTTGCGAATGGTAATTGGAGGCACACTTATTCCTGTGGTGGTCTGATTGTTCGGTAGTTTCACTCGCATAATAACTGGAGTGATTTTACCGAACAATCAGCGAATGCTGCATACACTTTACATACATATGGCAAAAATTATCTGAACACATACGAATACACATAATTCTGAGGACAGCCCAATGTCATCCGCTACACTCTGTATCCAAGTTCAATTTATTGTTTATTTGTTACATCTTACTATTTTGATACAGCTAATTCTACTAAATTACTGTATGTATGCATCTGATGGTGCATTGACTATGATGCTTGCTGGTCAAGCACATGCACACAGAGACTTTTTAACATTTTTATTTATTTACAGGTACTGTCAGCCATTCTCGTGGCTGGGTGTGTATTGTACTAGCTCCAAATTGCTTGTAAATAGGATGAACCGAGTCAAGTAACCCTCATTTAGTGACAAACTGCTAAACACTAAACAATAGGACTCCAAGCACCATAACCACTTTAGTGAGATGATGAGGTAATTGTGCTTAGATTGTCCATTAAGGACAAGTGATTTCAGAGAAGTATGAAGATACTCTGTGCACCATAACATATATGCTATGGTTGTAATGTAAGGTCCCACGCAACAATGACTTACAAATGAGATTTGCAGAAAAAAAAAAAAAGTTATAGCCCTAAGAATGTCCTTCCTGTTTTGCTATTCAACATAAGCATACAGCAACAGGTCAAGTCAATGCTTTGCAGAGCCCCTTTTGCAAAAATGTGAACCAATTAAACAGATAGCAACCACAGTAATGGTTTTTGTCAACTCATTTAGCAGTTCTACTCATCTCATGAGGCTGAACTACAGTGGTCTGGTTTATAAGATAAGACCGAAAGAGAGTCTTCTGATTGGTGGAGCATGTTCCTGAAATAGGAGGCAGATGTCTGCTACTGACCCTTTCTAGAACAGCAGCTTCACAGACTTCAAAGGGAGGCGTGTCCTTTTATGTTAACATGTAAAACAGATTCAACTGTCTGGGAAACATGGCTGTTGGGACGATTACTGCAACCATGGTAACCAACTGAGAAAACAAACACCTAATATCTAACCATTTCACTGCAACAGATAAGGTATAGTAATGTAAATAAATTGATTTACAGTAAATGTGACAGTTGCCAATGAAGCCTTCAAATCACAACGTTAAGAATAGAACCTATGCCCCATCGAAAGCTTGAAATGGATCCAGCAATAACATGATATCCATAATACAGAAGTGGAACATTATAATGTACATTAAGCACGCGCTCCACCTTGCCCACATTTCATAAATTCCAATATCCTGGCTGCAGCTAAGAGCAGGTAAAGGGGTCCTACCTGTTTTACTTTTTCCTCAAAGTCTGCATCATTATGATCTGAAATCATCTGTGCAAGTCTGATTTGCTCTGCGGTGGCCTAATAAAAAATAAATAAAAATAAATGTAAACTACATATATAAATAAGGCCTTATGCACCAATAAGCATTGATCAAGAACATCACTTTCCCTAGGACCAGTTCTTACCTGTGGCCTTTGCTTGTGCTGCGTCTGATTCTGTGTCTGTTCCCAGTTACCCCGGGCGCGGTTTGTGGCCACCGAGGTCATCATTTACAGTATATACAAATAACAGTATTTACAAAGTACAACTCTGTAACGGGAAAAGAAACATAAGTGGATTAACTCCTTGCCCAGCTCGTGAACACTTCCTGAGTAGAACTACCAGACCACATTATAATGGAATCAAACATGTTACAGACAGCTCAAAGATAAATTGCTTAGGGCAATATTGGTTAACGTGACAATTACTTTTTTTCTTCTTTTTTTTGACAAAATTTACAAAAAAGTCTCTGTTTAGAACCCTGATCTTCTACCATATCATCTTCCTAGGGAGAATTCCTGCCTTGAAAAAGAATGCAAACTTCTCCAGTTTGTTTAATTGCCGGAAACTAGTCTGGTGTATTAAAACCACTAATTGCATAACATGGCAAAAGTCTATTTAAATTGATTGTGTTTGCCCTATACTTTGTGCTAGTCAAAGGGCTAGAAAATGTTTAAGCTTGAGAATAACATGTGGTTAAAATAATTAAACCACTGTGTTGCGAATGGTAATTGGAGGCACACTTATTCCTGTGGTGGTCTGATTGTTCGGTAGTTTCACTCGCATAATAACTGGAGTGATTTTACCGAACAATCAGCGAATGCTGCATACACTTTACACATAATTCTGAGGACAGCCCAATGTCATCCGCTACACTCTGTATCCAAGTTCAATTTATTGTTTGTTAAATCTTACTATTTTGATACAGCTACTTCTACTAAATTACTGTATGTATGCATCTGATGGTGCATTGACTATGATGCTTGCTGGTCAAGCACATGCACATAGAGACTTTTTAAAATTTTTATTTATTTACAGGTACTGTCAGCCATTCTCGTGGCTGGGTGTGTATTGAACTAGCTCCAAATACTGTGTATTACACTCAGAAAATTGCTTGTAAATAGGATGAACCGAGTCAAGTAACACAATGCTCCCTATTCAAAATGCATTGGACAAGATATTTAATCATGGTTATACCTATTAAAATATGAAAATGTGAATACCACAACTAATTTAGTGGATTTATAGAGATGAATAAAAAATCCTGTGTGAAATTACCTCATTTTATATTGCTACAATAATGACTTCAACTTAAGCACCAGTTTAGTTTTTCACTATTAAACTGCAAAATGATAGCATTTAAAGCAGTTCAGCCACTGTCAGGGATTAGTTGAGCCATCATGAGACAAGGACTTCAGTAGTTCAGACCAATCTTAACAAGGCCATCATGCACCACTGGGTCTCTATTAGCTTCTAGATTTAAAGGGATGTGCTCTACAGTTCATTGTAGTAGTTACATTGAGAAGTTCAGCTTCTTATCTACTGATTGGATAATGTAGCAGTGGGTTTCCAAAGTATCTGCCTAACCTTGCACAGCAATGAGAAGCTTCCTTCCTCTTTGGCTACACACTATGAGAAGGGTTTAACCAGGCAGCAGGTACTAGGTAAGAGTCAGATGAGTTGTTGACTGGATACGCCAGCTTTTAAAACCTCAATGTGCTGTATTTTTTTTTGAAGTCGTAATTTCAAATCAACTCAAAACATGGATGGCACTGACTAATCAAATGTAGAGAACCAATTTTTGAAGATGAGTAAAACATTGTAATATAAATTTTTCACCTTTCATTCGACAGCTTTCTGATTTATTGAACGTTGCAACCTTGCTCTTCATATAAGGTAAAACACGGCTTATTAGATGACCCAATTTACTGCCAATGTTAGAAATATCACGCTTGCATTAGCAACTGCAGTTAGAAGGCCCACTCCACAAGGATAGTTGAGATGGAAAAACCATCAAGCAAAATTTGCCGAGTGCTCACACATGCCTTGAATAGACATATGGGAGTCCTGAGCAGGAAATGAAATCAAGATGGAAGGAACTGCTGTTACAGAGGGGATTCGTCAGACAGCTGACTAGGTCTATTTTGGTGTCTGAATCAGAATTACTCTAACTACTTGCAATTGTGCAATTTAAAAACTAGATTTTCATATTATTTGGAATTAAAATATCAGTGACACACTTTTCATGCCAGCAGTCATGTGCAGTGTTTTACTTTGAAATATTGCATATAAGCAGTTGAACCAATTTGCTGCCAGAGGTGTAACTCCACCTCCGGCACAGTCATTGGGGCATCATTAGATAGCGTGGAACAAGAGTTCTGGGTTGCCTAATGTCAATCCTCTGCATATTCCTACACACAATAGCATACATCGCTGAAAGCAGCAAGCTGATGCCCTTAACAATGAATGATAATCAGGAATGACTTACAGCTTTTGCAAGAGCTGGTTACCGTCGCTGACTACTGGAGAACCCTCGGAGGGGACACAGGTAAGAGAGCAAACTGTTTGCACTATCAGAAAACAGGGCACTCTTTACATCATAACCACTATAGTGGGATGCAGTGGTTATGATGTTTGCATATGATGCACCATCTAGCACATTGCTCCCAGGAAACAAAGAAAAATATTTTTGCTTCTCACTAGTATAAGAGGAGGGCAGGAGACAGTATAAAAAAAATCTCGTTTTACTACACCCCCACAAACTTTTGAAGTTAATTTAAGCCAACCTGAGATGAACAAAGCTTATAGACGTTTTTAATCTATGTACTGGAGGCAAGGACTAAAAGTGAAAAACTAACACACTGAAAAACACTTAAAATCCCATTCTGAATACGACAATATTAGAGTCTGGCACTTAATTAAAAGAAACTATAAACAGAATAAATTGGTGATTAAAAACAAACAAAACATCCCCTTAATCCTAAAACAAATACATGTGTTAATCTGCAAAACTGTACTAATGTTCGACCTAAATTGTAGTGGAGCAACATACATTACAATTTTAATATAGATTAGATTTTAATGGAATATAGATTAGATTTTATAGCAAGGCAACTGGATTAGATTAGTTCAACTTTTATGTACAAAACCCCGTTAAAACCGTCTATTTAATCCATATTAAAAATCAAGAGCAAATTATTAGTTTGTTTCTTAAAATAGCTTGATGTACGTACCAAGCATGCAATTCTGTTTTTAGCCTTGCCTACTTGCCCTAAATGACTATTTCAGGTATGGAGTAAACTTTCTGAAAAGAGTATTTCCTTGCATTACTCCTCCACTACCCATTCAGCAACTTTATACGGTATCCTCATGGTTCCTATGCTGGTATATTCCTATTATGACTGCTTTCTACATACACAGAGCAACATGTTTAAAAGACAATTCATCATCATAACTAACCCTGAATAACAGTCATGCAGCTCGGAGATTACTCAATAAAGATAAGATTTTCACACATTAAAGTGCAGTTACCCACAGCTTTCATGGTTACTGGTGAGTGTGGATCCTTCCTATTTTTACAGATATTTAATTCTGCAGTTACCCACAGCTTTCATGGTTACTGGTGAGCTTGGATCCTTCCTATTTTTACAGATATTTAATTTTGCAGTTACCCACAGCTTTCATGGTTACTGGTGAGCACTGTCCTATTTTTACAGATATTTAATTTTGCAGTTACCCACGGCTTTCATGGTTACTGGTGAGCGTGGATCCTTCCTATTTTACAGATATTTAATTTTGCAGTTACCCACAGCTTTCATGGTTACTGGTGAGCGTGGATCCTTCCTATTTTACAGATATTTAATTTTGCAGTTACCCACAGCTTTCATGTTACCGGTGTGCTTGGTCCTATTTTACAGATATTTAATTTTGCAGTTACACACAGCTTTCCTGGTTACTGGTGAGCGTGGATCCTAACTATTTTACAGATATTTAATTTTGCAGTTACCCACAGCTTTCATGGTTACTGGTGAGCATGGATCCTTCCTATTTTACAGATATTTAATTTTGCAGTTACCCACAGCTTTCATGGTTACTGGTGAGCTTGGATCCTTCCTATTTTACAGATATTTGATTCTGCAGTTACCCACAGCTTTCATGGTTACTGGTGAGCGTGGATCCTTCCTATTTTACAGATATTTAATTTTGCAGTTACCCACAGCTTTCATAGTTACCAGTGTGCTTGGTCCTATTTTACAGATATTTAATTTTCCAGTTACACACAGCTTTCCTGGTTACTGGTGAGCGTGGATCCTAACTATTTTACAGATATTTAATTTTGCAGTTACCCACAGCTTTCATGGTTACTGGTGAGCGTGGATCCTTCCTATTTTACAGATATTTAATTTTGCAGTTACCCACAGCTTTCATGGTTACTGGTGAGCGTGGATCCTTCCTATTTTACAGATATTAAATTTTGCAGTTACCCACAGCTTTCATGGTTACCGGTGTGCTTGGTCCTATTTTACAGATATTTAATTTTGTAGTTACCCACAGCTTTCCTGGTTACTGGTGAGCGTGGATCCTAACTATTTTACAGATATTTAATTTTGTAGTTACCCACAGTTTTCATGGTTACTGGTGAGCATGGATCCTTCCTATTTTACAGATATTTAATTTTGCAGTTACCCACAGCTTTCATGGTTACTGGTGAGCATGGATCCTTCCCATTGTTACAGATATTTAATTTTGCAGTTACCCACAGCTTTCATGGTTACTGGTGAGCGTGGTCCTATTGTTACAGATATTTAATTTTGCAGTTACCCACAGCTTTCATGGTTACCAGTGAGTGTGGATCCTTCCCATTGTTACAGATATTTAATTTTTACAAGAATGTAAAATTACAGCTCATAAAAACCGAACAGAAAGATTTCTCCCCCCTCAACCCCCCAGATTTTTTTTTAAACCTAAAATGTGAGATTATCGCCGAATTCCAGGCACTCCGCTCTGTGGTAAATAGGCGAGTTCTGTGTTCGCCCACTCAGTGGCCGAGTGAACAAAGCGCGGCCAGCAGAGCGGGTTCTCGGTGCCGAGTCCCGGTGTGAGCGGAGTGTCCCCTCCCCGGCCTCCATCCCCTCCCCGATACTCCGTTACACCGGGTCCGGTACACGGGACTCAGACCGGGGACTTGCGGAGACCATGCCCACAGTCAGGCGGCCCTGCCCGGCCAGTTCTCCTACTAGAGCGCGAGGCTTCCATGGGCCTACTAGGCCGCGGTGAGGCCATGGCGCGAGCAGCCCCGGGGAAGGCCGTCTGGTTCCCCCCGCGTGCCCTCTCCCATTTCCCGGCCGGCTCGGCTCTAATCCGCCGCCCTTTCCGGTTTCTTTCCCTCCTCCTCCCGCCGCCCGCCAGACGAGCACCGTCCTTACCTGCGGCTCCTCCGCTCTGACACCACGTGACCTCCCTGCCGCGCCGCCTCCTCACTCACACGCACGCACGCACGGCGCCGTCTGACGACATGCCTCGCGCGTGCGTTCCACGCAAACCCCGCCCCCCCCTCCCTCGCTGCCCTTCAAACCTCTGACGACGTCTGATTGGCTGCCGAGAGGTCACGTGTCGGAGGGGGTGGGTGGGAAAGGAAGTTCCCATTGGTCAGCTGACTCTGGCCAATGCGGAAGAGCCTCGGACTTACAGTTGTGGGAGCAAAACAAAAAAACATGGCGCCCAAAACGCCCAACAGTAACTGGCTGTCTGGGGTTAATGTGGTGCTGGTAATGGCTTATGGCAGTCTGGTGAGTGACCTGGGGGGCTGACCCTCTGTGGGGTGTGTGATGGGTCTTTGTAGGGACAGTAATGGGGTTCAGTATTGACAGTGGGCTGCATGGCACTGAGTTATTAATTAAAGGGACACTATAGTCACCTGAACAACTTGAGCTTAATGAAGCAGTTTTGGTGTATAGAACATGGCCCTGCAGCCTCACTGCTCAATCCTCTGCCATTTAGGAGTTAAATCCCTTTGTTTATGAACCCTAGTCACACCTCCCCTGGCTGTGACTGACACATTGGGGGGGGGGAAAGAAATTATCTTATTTTCAATCAGAAGTTAACTTACTTGGAAGTTTTATCTCCTGCTTCGTAAATTGAGCTTTTATTACACACAGCAACTATATGAACAGAGCAGGAGATAAGAAATTCCAAATTAAACAGAATGTGTGCAATAAAGGAAGTTTAAACATTAGATCTCACTTTACGGGAAGTGTTTAGGAAGGCTGTGTAAGACACATGCAGGGAGGTGTGATTAGGGCTGTGTAAACAAAATGATTTAACTCCTAAATGGCAGAGAATTGAGCAGTGAGACTGTAGAGGCATGATCTATACACCATAACCGCTTCATTAAGCAAAGTTGTTTTGGTAACTATAGTGTCCTTATTTATTTATTTTTATTCTTTATTTATACCCTGCTCACAAGCATGAGTGGGTCAATGTGGTCACAACAAACAAAATAAACAGACATTGCAGTACACTCGTGGCATACATAGTATATTGCGGACTTTGCTTGAGAGTAGGGGTTTTTATTTTGTGTCTTGGTCTATGTCGAGTGATGATAGAGTCAGGTCAGTGAAGGTCCATTGTGTATTTGTGGCTTGTCGTTAAGCCTTTGGGCTACTATAATTACTGTTGGGTAGTGAAGTCATCACTTGATGTCCCCTCGTCATGGATGTATGTTTAGGTTGCGTCATAGTTGGTCCCTAAGCTATGGTCGTGGCTATATAAGTAACCTGGCGTATTTGTAGCGCTATGTGTATATAGTGTCCTTTTAAAGTGAGAATTCAAACTGAATTTCAAATTGAAGGTCAAAAGAGCCAAAATTGAAAATTTATCTAAGTAATCAGCTATGCTTTCAGTTCAGCAACTGTGGCCTTAAATACCCTGTTATTTTTTTTTTTTTTTTTAAACAAAACGTTTTCTTGGAGGAATAAATTGATTGTTTATAGTATATCCTGGAGTACATTAAGCACCTAATTCTTTACCTTTAAACCTAACCATATTAAGTTGGTATTTTTTATTTGTAATTATTTTTTTTTAAATAGTTTGACAAAATCTACCCAAATATAAATTTTTAGTGGGATGGCGTCTTCGTTAATGACAATCATGTAAAAAAAAAAATACTTCTACAATGTAATGCATGGGCAGCCGAAAGGTCGATCCCCAGATGTTGTAGAGCTACACCTCCCATAATGCTTTGCATGCCTTTAGAATGACAGAGCATCGTGGAAGCTGTAGTTTAAAAACATCTAGGGGATCGACTTTTTTGGCACCCATGGTTATTGCATTGCATTACATAGATAATGCTTTTAGACAATAATTGAAATCAAATACTTGCTTTCAAAGATTCTGAAGCTGCAGAGCTTAGAAAATCTAAAAGCAGCTGCAGGCAGACCCAATGCAACCATTAATCAGGAGCCTCTCATTGTGGTCTGATGGGTTAAATCTTTTTTCATAAACACCTCTCCACTATAGGTTTGTGGTATTGTGCTGTGTCTCTCGAGACATAAAAGGGGTAGAACTGCTTCGTAAACTGATAACAATGAAACTTAAACTGATGTACGGTAACACACAGCTGAGTACTGTTTAGTGAACAGGCTGTGTATAAAGTCTAGCAGAGCCAAAAGACCAGCAGTTCAGCTCTCCATAGAGGAGAGGAGGCTTAGTCCATGTTGTGTCTGCAGGGTACCAGGCTGTCTGTACCAATAAGTTAGTTGATCAGCAAAGCTAACGTGGCACTACTTTATCTCTCCAGGGAAGAATGAGAGACCAGTCTGAGCATTCCAGCTGCCTGAATGACAGATTTACTCCAGTTCTAAAACCATCTAAGAACTGAGAGTGGATGCAGGATACTTTCTGCACCATAAATGTTGCAAGAATGCCAAACTGTTATGATGCTTAGTGTGACACTTTTTTATAAGGTTTTGTTAGCCGTGTGAGAGCATCAGATTAAAAGCACAACCATCATTTTTTAATATTTAATCAAAGTATCACAGAATAAAAGAACGTAGAACAGAAAATGGATTCAGTGCAGGTTATTGTGTTAAAAAAGTCGCATAACAACATATTTCTTATAGTTCACGTTATCTGAAATCACAACTCCATAAGTTCACACTTTCTGTCCTTCTCTCCTAACCTGCAGTGTTGTCCAGTGGCTCAGAAAGGAAAAGAGGTGCAGGAACGTCTAAGCTCAGCAAGGCAATTTTTTTGGAACAAAGATACAGCAACATTTCAACCCTAAATTGGGTTTTTGCCCAATCGACTCACTGTAGGGTCGAAACGTCGCTGTAACCTTGTTTCAATAAATTTGCCTTGTTGAGCTTAGGAGTGCCTGCAGCTCTCTTGTTGTCTTGGATCTAACCTTGTGGGGATTGTGCTAGCCCCTGGTCTATCCACTCAATTCTAGCTGAATTGATTAAGTGCTGTTCATTTACACCTGGTTGGTAAACATATGCACAGTTGTACATCTGAACAGGAAACACAGCAAAGGGTTTCCACGTGTTGTAGTTTAGTAGGCAATTTAGTAAAAAGTCTCAGAAACCCCTGCTCTGGCAAAAATGATCCTGAGCTTCCTAGTATGTTACCATGCCCTTTCCTCCTACACTCTGTACAGAGGGTCAGACAATGAATTTAGGATTGACATCTTTGTAGATAAAAGAAGCAGATATAAGTTAACCATTGCAGTGATTAAGTTAACATACTTTGCAAGTTTAGACTCTGTAGACATTATTTTGCATATACTCTTTAATACATTATCAGTATTGTGCACTACAAAAAAATTGGAGCGGTTTCCAGATTAGAGTGCTTTTTTTTTTTTAAAAGAGGACTCCACTCTCCAGTAAACATTATTGAAGTTTCAGTTTGCTGGGGTGAGGAATGTAACAGCAGTAACATTAAAATACTCTTGCCTCCACGGGACTTTGTTTTTTTCCTAGAACACTGAGTGTTCATGTGTGTGCACATTCCATTGTGATATATATCATATAGTTATTTTAACCTTTAGCTGGTGTGGTAAGATAGGTTGGCATAATGGAGAGAAAAAAAAAAAACACAACCCGAAACTGCCATTTAAATCAAACCTTATGTGCACAATCCCATATTAAAGGAACACTATAGTGTCAGGAATACAAATGTTTTCCTGATGTGGATTTTATGTGACGGGCCCCAACGCTGCGCCTGTCTCTCCTGGCTCTTCCTACATGGGTAAGATCATCAATCTTGATGATCTCAGCCAATCCAATGTTTTCCAATAGGAAAGCATTGGGAGGCTATTGTGCATGCGGGACAAAACGCATCGCTGCGACAATCAGCATCTCCTCATAGAGGTGCATTGAATCAGTGCATCTCTATTGGGAACTTTGGGTGCTTCAATGCAGTGCATGGAGAAGCTGAATGGCAGTGCTGCACACTGTACAGTACTGGACTTGGAAGCACCTCTAGTAGCCATCTAAATGAATGTAATGTAAACACTGCCTTTTCTCTGGAAGACACCAGAACTACATTAAGCTGTAGTGGTTCTTGTGACTATGGTGTCCCTCTGAAGTTTAGCTTATTGGAGTTGTTATGGGGGCAGGAGTGTTTGGGTGCCATATTATCTTGAGTGGTTAAAATATTTCCATTGGTTTAACCATGAAGTTGACTCCCCCCTCCCCCCCCCTCCAGCACCTGACACCCCTGCCTCCTCACTTACGTCCTCCTGGATGCTATAGTCTGAGGAACGTTTGTTGGGCCGCAAGGGAGAACAAGAACAGGAGAACTCTCCTTCAAGCAATCTTCCTGCTCTCCAGCACAGTAACCATAGGGCATGCTCTGTGGATGCTTTTGTCACTCAGTAGAAAGTGCTAGCGAGAACTGCTGGATTCTAGCAGAGCAGGTAAGACACAGGAGATGGGTGACACAGCAGTGGATATGGTGGAGCTGGACCAAAGGCAGGATATATTAGTATATACCAATTTTACATAGAATGTGCCGTTTATTTGTATGATTACTGATAGATATTTAATGTCTCCAGGGGCAATTTTAGTTAAAATGAATCTTGTCGTGACATATTCACTGTAAGATACTACCTGTTACAGGGTTTTTGATATCTTCCTCAAAGAGCTTCATGTTTGTTGAACTATAAATTACATAGGTAATATGGATTGGGTGACCTGATTTCTCCAGAAACTTTGCTCCTGAATTCCACACCTCTACATTTAGAATGCCTCTCTCTGGTTTGTTTTAGGTCTTTGTGCTGCTGTTCATTTTTGTGAAGAGGCAAATCATGCGCTTTGCTATGAAATCTCGCAGAGGGCCTCATGTACCAGTAGGACACAATGCTCCAAAGGTAATCCTACAGCTTGTGGCAGTAGATCTGCTACTCACATATTCATGTTTTTAAACAAATTTTATTTTCTTTCTACTAGGATTTGAAAGAGGAGATTGATATCCGACTCTCTAAAGTGCAGGACATTAGGTTCGAGCCCCGGCTTCTAGCAGAGGGTGATGATCGAATGCTTCAGCTGGATAAACCGGAACAAGAAGGTAATAAACAATGCAATTTCTTATACCCAACCTCTTCATATAGTAAAAACCAAAGAAAAACACGTTACCAGCGCTCTCTCCTTAATACCTATGTATTTTTAAACAAATTGAGGTAATTTCTCAATGGCCATGAGAGGGCAAGCCCACCTGCCAACGTCAAGGCAGACCCCCCTAGGTGGGTCCTAACTCTAACCATTTACCTTGCTTCCTTGAGCTTCTGGCAAAGACATCTCTAATGAGGTGAATGGTTAGAGTTAGGACCCACCTAGGGGGGTCTGCCTTGATGTTGGCAGGTGGGCTTACCCTCTCATGGCCATTGGAGGTAACTAAAAACCTCAATTTGTTTAAAAATACATAGGGATTAAGGAGAGAGCACATGTAACTTGTTTTTCTTTGGTTTTTACTATATATTGGGGCTGATGTGTTCTGCATTCATTGCTGCCGCCCAGTAGTGATGGGAGTGAGCACAGGACTTATCTTTTTGCATTTGCAACCTCTTCATATGTCACAATTAGCTGGAAAGGCATTACATTTAATCTGTACGTTGTGCTGGCAAATGTGTAAAGTTTGAGGTCCCTCACCTGTCAATAATTTCCCAGCAAAATATTCAATCAAGGAGCACACCAAAAATATTGAAAAACTTTTATTAGATGGGTACAAAAAAAATCAATATTTCAAAAATACATATCAAAGAGATACAAAGCACAATTTATATACTGAAAATGTACAGTGAATAATCAGAAGTTATATAATAATTTCCAAACAGAATGTATAGCAAATGAATACTAGGCTACCAATGTGAATATAAATTCATAGAGATATCCAATCTTAATAACCCATCGTAAACAAAATAATATAAAGAACAATCTAAGCATACCAGAACAAGTGAGAGGAGGGAAGAAAAGTCAATCAGCAAGCCCCAATGTTTCGGCAAAAATCTGCCTTTAATCCCAGCATACAGGACTATGTAATTGGTATATCTTAAATGCAAATAGCAGGAGAACCATCCTGCAGGCAGGTATCCTGCTCCCCTTCACAGCAACTACCTTGCTTGCATGGTAGTTACTGTGATTATTCCCTTGCAGAGTATTTCTTGCACCAGACCAGAGTAATACAGGAACAGAGTTCGGACACATCTTTGAAGTCTGCTAAGTCATGGCCAATCTTCTCCCAGGGAGTGGACATAAATAATACATAGCGTATCACTCACAAACCTGGACTCCCTGTGTTACTGGAGAAAGGTTAAACTTATATTTATCTCTCAATTGAATAAATCTACATTTATAAATGATGTTTATTGATTGAGCAGATGTTAAAGCTTGCACCTATACTTTAATGCATGGAAACCAAGTCAGCTGCTTTTTAGTAAGGTTATGTTGGACTGCATTCTTTAAGTATTAAAATGTACGGAAAGGTAGAACTGTGCATTAATAAATTCTATAAAATACAGTCAGAAATTATGTTCTTATTTAAGATCTGTATTGCAGCTTGTGCTATCAGTGGACAAAGTGTGTTTTTTTTGCAGGTTCACCAAGGTAATGTTCACAGTGAATCTGGCAGAATTCTATTGCTTGATAAATACACTATTCAACTGCATTTACATTTTTGATAATATGCTGGCACCAAATAATATGCAATCATTTAGTGTAGATCTCTGTATTTCTAAAGGCTTCAGTGACATTTCAACTGGAATCACACAGGGAATTCATGTATCTGTGCATTTTTATTGCCAAAAAAATTAATACTCCTACGCTCCTCTATCTAACTAAATCTCACTTTTTTTTTTCTTATGTCTTCCAGGCTGTTACAATTATCTATATAGAATGAAGACCCTGGATTCCATCAAAGATTCAGGTGTTAAATAAGTTCCATTATATCTTAAGACTTAGAAAACAGAAAAAAAATGGTCAGTGCTTTCCATTTCTTTGCATTATTGTTAAATCGGGATACTGCAACTTAAATAAATTGCTTACATTTGTGGTAGCATATAACTTGTGTGTGTAATGTGTTGCCTGGAAATGTCTTCAAGGTCATAGCCAATAATTTTAAAGGATCACCTACTGTAGTGTTGCCAGGAGTGCCCTGGTGCCCTTGCAGAGTAAGTAGTCACGTCATTTAGGACCATTTGACAACTTGCCTGGATCCTGTTGCTGCTTTCTCAGCTATCAGATGCTCCTTCAAAAAGTTTCTATGAACTCCACCGAACCAAGACTTGCCATGCAAGGCCGGGGGAATTGGCTGAGAGCATCAGCTGAGAAATTAGTAATTTAGTGTGACCCTGCACAGCCAAGCTTAGCTCAGTGATGGGAACTTCCAGCAGAAAATTGTAAGCCATCAACATCTGAGAGCCAGAGCATGAGATCCTTGCTTAAAAACCTCTTGTAGTGTAAGTGTCGTATTTTAGTGTTAATATGATGTAATGGTGTACTGAATTGTTCTGTGTATATTTTAAATTTTTTTTGCAGACATCCCTTTCCAGGATAATGGGAAGCATCCAAGAACTTTGGTGGGGAAAAACTTTCGCTCATATTTGCTGGAATTAAGAAACTCTAGTTCACCATTCAAAGGGATTCGCAAGACTTTATTGGATGCCCTTCTGGATGGCTATGAGAGTGCCCGTTATGGAACTGGGGTAAACAGTTTTTTAAATTTATTTTTATAAACTGTTTTGTGAATGGTGGTGACCGTAGGTGTGAGAACATTGCTGTTGGTTTCTGTAAAAGGCTGCATCGGGAATGCCTTACTGTATCAGCTCTGATGAAATGGATCATGTTAGTTGCAACGCTTTCCCTATAGGCTGAGATCATCTGTAATGATAATCTCCGCTAGGGGAAGCGCAGTGAGTGATCGCCTGTAGACCACTCTGTTAGAAATACATGTTTATATTCCTGACGTTAAAGTGTTTATTTAAATATTAGTTTTCATTGTATTTATTTTGCTGTGTAGTGAATAAACCCTGCAGGACTGTAGAGAAGTCAAAATTATCCATCCAGAACATGTTTCCCATTTAGGAATTCTGGCCTAAAATTTGTCTTTCAGTTTTGAAGGTATCAGGAGACGGAGAAAAACAGCTCTAAGCCCAGGGGGTTTTGAAGCAACACTATAGGATCAGGAACACAAACATGTATTCCTGCCCTATAGTCTTTAAACCACTATTTAGCTGGCTTGCCCTCCCGCTGCCCCTATATAATAATAAATTAACTTGTTTCCAGCATTGCGTGGGCCCTGATCAGCCTTCTTGCTGACATCATCAGAATGTATGATTTCAGCCAATCCAATGCTTTCCCATACATTGTATTGGCTGAAATCAGCAAGGAGGCGGGATGGGGCCATGGCCAAACATCAGCTTTGCCAGTCAGAACCTCCTCATAGAGATACATTGAATCAATGATTATCTATGAGGAAAGTTTAGTGTCTCCATGCAGAGGGTGGAGACACTGCCCCAGGGAAGCACCTCCAGTCGCCACTGGAGGTGTTTCTAGAAGGCAATGTAAGCAGTGCATTTTCTCTGAGAAAACAGTGTTTACATAAAAATGCCTGCAGGGAATGATTATACTCCCCAGAACAACTAGATTGAGCTGTAATTGTTCTGGTGACCATAGTGTTCCTTTAAGCAATTCCCACTTTGGCGTATAAACTCCACCGGCTTTCCAAATTTAGGTTTTTTTTTTGTGTTTTTTTTTTTTTATCACTAAACTGCAAATTCTTGAGTGTTGCAAATTTTAGCTGAATTTGGAAAAAAAAATCTTCATTGTCTACTGATCCCAGCTATGCTATTTCTTGGTGCATTGTCGTCAAATTCAGGTGTACAGTGTTATAACTTATCCAAATCCACAATTCTCACCAGCTTGGCTTTTAGCCTACATTTTGCCATTTGGATTTTAATTTGATAAACTTTGGCATTTAGTGAATAACCAAGTGTCTCTGCAGCTGTGCATGCAACTAGGTATATGTAAGCATGTGAAAGAAAAAAGTGAATTTAGTGGATCGTACTACCACCAAAAGATCACTCAGTGGAGCGCTAAATATCAAATTCTTACCCCTATTGGAATAACGTATATATCACTTTAAGGGGCAGACAGCATAATAAAATCTACAACAAGAAAATACACATCATGGTGCAGTATGCTTGTAAGGTGTGAATGGAGTGGAAGAAGATGTATGTCCAACTCACATTTTCGGAACTCCAAGGAAGACCACCCCAGAGACTTTTACTTTTTGGTATCTGTATATACAGTTTTACTTTGCTTAATTGTTTTTTTTTTTTTAATAAATTGTTACTTTTACCTTATACATCTGGTAGTGGATCTTCAACTGCTTCCTGCATTTTCTAAAGAAGGGTAGTGCCTCCCTTAAAGGCACCACACGCTTATACATAGAGCCTAGTACAATTGGCTCTATTCCAGGTGAGCACATTCATGCACTGTTATATGTGACCACTTGTTTATTTTAAACATACTTGCACCAGGATTTTTGTCCTTTTTTATCCACATATGTTGTGAGCTGTATATCTGGAGAAGGTCTGGTATTACCAAACATACCTCAGCTGTTGTGATTTGAGCCAATCTCCAGGCTCTTTACCATGTGAGTTGGACATACATCTTCTTCCACTCCATTCACACCTTACAAGCATACTGCACCATGATGTGTATTTTCTTGTTGTAGATTTTATTATGCTGTCTGCCCCTTAAAGTGATATATACGTTATTCCAATAGGGGTAAGAATTTGATATTTAGCGCTCCACTGAGTGATCTTTTGGTGGTAGTACGATCCACTAAGTTCACTTTTTTCTTTCACATTGTGTTTGTGTAGGATTGGGATACCTGCATGCGTGTTTGAGCTGCTGTTCCATTTATATATTATTGTTAAGCGCCTAATTGCACAGAGCACCTTTTTCTTGTACTATATGTAAGCATGTATTATTACTATTTTTTTTAAATATAATTCTTTTCTTGTCTTTAAGGTATATGGAAAAACAGACCATGACAAATTTATGGATTCTCTGAGAGAGCTGGCTGCAGTGTAAGTTTAATCATTTTCTGAAATATGTTTTTTAGTATAAACACATCATGATTATAGTTAGGAATGCATTGTGTTATATGCATACAATATCTGTTGTTCTTCATACTTTTTTCTTTTTTCTCTCTCATCATATTCAGTGTCAAAGCCAGAGGAGCAGAAAGTCAGAGGCAGCGGCAGTCTGCAGCTAAAGACTTAATGGCAGCACCAGACACCTCCGAAACACCCACCATCCAAGTGACCTACCTACCCTCTAACCAGAAGAGTAAACGGCCCAAACACTTCTTGGAGTTGAAGAGTTTTAAAGACAATTACAATACTCTTGAAAGTACCCTGTGATCAGAGATCTCAGGGCAAAAATTCTGGTTATGAATCACCAGCACCCAAACACTCATCAGGGCCTTAGGACTTTGTGAGCTTTAGACCCAGTCCAGTCTGAATGATTTCTCCAATTCCTGGCGGTCCTCTGTGACCAGAGTGACTGTAATTTGACCGTGCCTATCCAGGAGACATGGGGAGAGTAAAACAGTCCGACTTAGGCTACCGAGATAGATGGCCATCGCAAGCTGCATATTCCGACACATTTATTAGGTGCACCTATCCAGGAGCAGGTATTATTCCCTTTCACATGGCATGAATTCACCAAAGTGCAGGAAATATTATTTAGAGATTTGGTAACTGCTTTTTAAATGAGAATCTCCTGCTGCATCTAATCCTAACACAGCTCTTCAGAATTATGGGACCATACAAGCGATTCAAATATGGTGAAAGAGCCTCCATGTTTGTGGAATTGATGCATGCTTTGCGGCTTAATTCATTATCCTTATCGGAATATCCATTTGGGAAACTTTAGCTATAAAGGATTGCACATGTTCATTTGGTATCGGTGTAATGTTATGCGTGCCAATACAATATTCCCTCTTGCATCACCACCAGCCTACATCATTGACTTATGGTAGGATTGACCCATGGTTTCATGCAGGTTTTGACAAACTGCCATCTCTACATCCCAGTGAAAATTGTTAGACCAATTTGTGTTTTCTAGTATTGATTCGACGAGGTTTGTAAATCCAGTTCCCAGTGTGTGCTCATTTTCCTGTTTTTGCTAGGAAGGGAGCCTAGAGAAGACATCTGCTTCCATAACCCTTCCATGTCAAGGTTCATCACATTGTGGCTCCAGTTAGCCTTTTGCAAATGACTGTTTTAAAGAGTTGTTGTTCAGTCTACGTGGCCTTTTTGTCAGCTGGATGTGTCTGGCCATTCACCTCTGACTTCACTTGTATAACAGGTGTTTTCACCTATAAAACTACAGCCCATTGGATATTCTACCATATCATTCCCCATAGACTGTGTAAACAGAAGTACCCCAGTCCACTGTTTCCGTAACGCTGGAATTATCAAAGCCTGGCACCATTATACCACCATCAAACTGGTTAAGATCAAGCGGCTTCCCTATTATATGTGGTAAAATAGCATCTCAATGTCTTGGTCATATAAGCATGTTCTTTACCCGTTGTGTTGCAGTCACATGATTTGCTGTCTTCGCTACTTCCACTTATCACCCAGCTGTACCTAATAGAGCAGCCACTGAGTGTATGTCAAAAGAACTTACTTCTGTGCAACAATTGTTACATCCCCTGTAAACGCACATGGTCAGGAGTAAAACAGTGGACACAATACAATCTGTGACAAATATGACTAATGGTATATACAGCTCCACAAAGAGCTAAACACATGCTTACTTTTGTTTACAATTTCTTATTTTTTTGTGTGATGGCTGAAAGGTTCCATTTAGAGAATGTTTAGTTTTTGAGAGCATATAAACACTCCGGTCACTGTAACCCTTTTTATATGAATTATATGGTGCCTGAAGGCTCCCGGGTGTGTTCTTATCTTAAGGGGTTAAACCACCATCAGATAACTGATTAACTTCAGTGCCGATCTGGAGGTCCCTGAGGCGGCACCCGGCTTCAGAATCTCAGTTACAGAAAGCACAGACTGCTGTCAGGCAGGGGTGCCACTATTTGGCTTTGGGTGGTAAGCTGGTGCTCTAAGCCAATTAGTGGCACCCTGCACGGTGGCACTCCGTGTTTCCTGTAATTGAGATTCTGATGCAGGATGTCACCTGGGGAACCTCCAAATTTGAGCAGGGGGCAAACGTTTGGGTTAAACCATTCGAAAACGGTTTAACACCTCAAGGTAAGAGTGCACAAGGGGGCCTGCTGGCACTAAAACAAGTTCATTATAGAATTCACCATAAAAACTTCATTTTAATTTAGCCTTCTATTTGTTCTTTTCAGGTGTGAACATCAAGGCCTTTTCAAACTGCTGTGTTTTGCATCTGTAATTGGTGGAGTGTCACTGTATTTATTTGTATATATTTTTTTTAATTACAGTATTATTAACAGACATTAAATTAAAAGTAATTTTCCTGTAAATAAATGTATATCGTACTCTTAAAGCATTCCCATTTTTCTGATATGGGTTTCACTGGCACTTAAAGGGACACTATAGTCACCAAAACAACTTTAGCTTAATGAAGCAGTTTTGGTGTATAGATCATGCCTCTGAACTTTCACTGCTCAATCCACTACCATTTAGGAGTTAAATCACTTGTGTTTCTGTTTATGCAGCCCTGGCCACACCAGGCCTGGCTGTGGCTGGCACAGCCTGCATGAAAATAAAATGATTTGAACTTTAATTACATACAATAGGCTCCTGTAAGGTCCAGCAAGCTATTAACTCTTTGAGCGCGATCACATGGCCCCCAGGGGCCTGATTTGCCAGGGGAGGACTGCCTGGGCTGTCAGACAGTCCTCCCGAAGAGGATTGCAATGGAGGTAAGTTTCTTCTGGCTCCTGGGTAGAAGGCTGTAATGGCGTTCTATGCCGCCACAATGGCTTTAAAGCCCATTATAATGGGGACGGCATCGAACGCCGTAACGGTGTTAAGGGGTTAAACAACATTTGCAGTAAAGGAAGTATAAACATTACATGACTCTTTACATGATGTGTTTTAAGAAGGCTGTGTAAGTCACATGCAGGGAGGTGTGACTAGGGCTGCATAAACAATGTAATTTAACACCTAAATGGCAGAGATGTAAGCAGTGAGACTGCAGGGGCATGATCAATACACCAAAACTGCATCATAAAGCTAAAGTTGTTTTGGTGACTATAGGGTCCCTTTAACTTTTACACTCCCTTAAAAATGTTTTGATATACAATTGAATAGGGCTAGGCAAACATTGTATAGTTTTCTTAAAGAGTTATTTGAAGTTATCACAGTGCCTGAAGTCTGTATGTGCAGCATTTTGCTTTAAAACACTGCACATACAGAGATTAACCCTTCTGATGCTGGAGGTGTTACCCCATCTCCAAATGCGACATTAGAGTTCCATCAGCCAGCCCTGTACCAGAGTTCTGTGCGGGCTAATGTCACTTCTGTGTAACCCTCATTGCACAAAATATCAGTCATTAGTTGAGATCAGTCATCTGACACTTTTAATTGCACCAGCTTCTGCAGTGCATGTCACCAGACCACCAGAGAGTATCAGAGTCCAACAGGGACCCAGTAAACCATTTTCCCCAATAGTGGGGAACCCAGCCAGGGTACTACTAGCATAATAACCTCTACACCCTTTAACAAAACAAAAAACACTACTCTCTTTTATAGATGAGGTGCAAGCTTATATCTGCCACCAAGGTTCTATGATCTACTGAGAGGTCTACATAACACATCACTGATATTGCTATAAAATAATCTAGATTCTCGCCACATTGGTATGGAGATCGAGATACAACCTATAACATACTGCCAATAAATAATTGTATTTTGGAATTATAGGAATCCTCATGGTGTGCAGATTTGGCACTGATTCTGAGTAACACTTTTTTGTACTCTCACTGTGCACATTCAATAATCCTATGCTTTGTCGCCTGTCGTCATTCTTTGGAAGACTGAAGAGTGTGCAGCCAGCCCTTCCACAAGTAGCTTCATTCATATTCATTACTATCAGGAGCATAGCTTTATTTTGAGGCTCTCTCAAATGGGCTGAAATCACATTCCATATTTTGAAGGGAAAATAAATATATATTCCCCCTCCCCACCCCCCCTTAACCCGGTTGCAGAAAACCAAATAGACTATTTCAGGGCTGACCAAAAGGTAGAACCCCAGATGTAGTACTACAACTCCCATGATGCTTTGCGTGCCATTAGAATGACAATGCATGATGGGACTTTTAGTGCTACGACGTCTGAGGACCCCTGGTCTATACTAACATGAATAAAAAATATCTATACAAGCTATAAAAAGATGATGATTATTTCTACTGTAGGTGCCGTGAAAAACTTGTGCATTCAGTACTGAGCAGATTGATGCTGCTACTCTAGGTGGTTGACTCACCTCCTTTAAAGATTTAGCAGGTAGACAATGTATTTCACCTTCAATCTGCTTTTAGTAGCGAGTACATAGAATCCAACTGGAATGCAAAGCAGCGTGTAACTTTAAAAGTGCATAACTACTTTCTCTAAATATTCAATGCTTATTTAAATGATCTTGATAAATGTTTGCTGGTTTTCCTTTTTTTAATCACCAAAAAATGGAAAGTTTTGCACTTTAAGATTTTAAATTTTTCTTATTTTTGTTGTTGTTGTTGTTACAGACCTCGGTCTACCTCTGTGGCACTCATTATACTGTGCTGTTTAGAACATGTCTTTTACTCTCTTCACCAAAACTATTTTTTAAACTTCTTACCCTTTCCAAATATGCAGGATGTATGTTAACAGCACTGAGCCAAGGATTATATAATATTCAGAATCACAGACTCTCCCTACGATTTTGGGAGGTATGTTGGCATAAAATGCTTATTAAATAATTTCTAAAGGCATCGGGGCCACACCTAAAATGAAGGTGAACTGTTACAATTCTGTACTTTTTCCTACCCATTTCATTGCACAGTGTATATATGTATGTAATCTAATTTGCTGTTTCATATAAGTGCCAATTAAATGTACATACAATGTTTAACACAGTTAGAACTTTCTGTTTAGATTGCTTTGCATTTCTTACTTCTTAAGCCATGTTCAATAAAGCTGTATTTAGTGTTCTTTTATTGTGCACATAGCTCTGAGTGCGTTTTATTCACCAACAACATGGGTATTGTGGAAAACACTTTACTCTGTAAATATATGGGGTCTATTCTCTCCCTCCCCTCCACTCCCTGGATACTAGCTCAGCGTACACCTAAGTCGAAATAGATGGAATATTTGGCTTAGTGTAGTTTTTAATTGCTCTGTGAATTCCTTTTGATGGGGCTGGTAGGTGGCAAGTTCCTTTCAGTTAAGGCATGTAGTAGTTATGATGCCAGGAGTTACCTTGGCACCGTACCCTGGTAATCAGAAAAAACATTTTGCAAAGGTTTGCCCTTGTTCTATCAAATTTCCCTACCCTCGTCTCTTCTGGTGAGGGAAATCAGCTGGATCCTGTGCTGCACATGCGTGCTAGCACTCCTGCTACTCCTCCACAGCAAGGTCCGTTTAACCCTAAATGTCCCGTGTGCCTAAGCTTAGTGAATGCACTAACTATAATGAAAGTGTAAAACTAGTTTTACTTACTTTCCAGGACCTTGCTGTGGAGGAGTAGCAGGAGTGCTAGCAAGCATGTGCAGCACATGATCCAGCTGATTTCCCTCACCGGAAGTGACGAGGGTAGGGCATTTTCACAAGGTAGGGGAATTTGATAGAACACCCTCTTGCCTGGGTGTCTGCCAGGCATCTCTTCTCCTGTAGTGTTGGCTTACGACATCTGGCTTTTGTACTTTATTTATTGGCTGAGAATGCCAGCTGCCCTCTCTATGCCAATGAATGCAATTTTGTGCATATGAATATGCACAGAATTGACATTAGCCACCCCGTAACTCGTGTTCCTGGCTGGCGACTTCCCAATGACACTGCCAAAGTAGGAGTCCAGCAGCAGAGAGGTTAATCTCAGTATGTGCAGCATTTCAAAGTGAAACCCTGCACATAAAGATTCCAGGCACCATGACCACTTCTAATCACTCAAGTGGTTAGGGTGCTTGGAGTAACTGTACTTAGTAGGAAAAATAATTTATCTCATTATATTTCTGTGAAAACGAAGTAGGAACTTGAGAACAAAGGAACTTTATAAAACAAGGTCCAATCTCTGGCCTCTAAAATACCCAAATACTGTTTAGCTATTGTTATACAAAACACTCTTTGACCTCTTATACCCTCAACAGTCTTTTAAGTTTCATCAAGCAATGGATATCAACAGGATAATACATGAAAAAGTACATTAATCTGCCTCAACTTCAATTTTGGTGGAGCAAATCAGGATTAGTTAATAATTTGATTCCTAAATCTGACCCTTCTCTGTACTGTAACTACTACAATCAAAGCATGTTTTAATATTTATGCAACTGATATTGGATGGGATTGTTATATACTTGTGATATAAAAACAACACCAAGTGATGGTTGGTATATATTTTTTTTTTTTTGTAATTTAAAGGGACACTATAGTCACCAGAACAACTACAGCTTATTGAATTTGTTCTGGTGAGTATAATCATTTCCTTCAGATGTTTTGCAGTAAACACTGTCTTTTCAGCCTAGGCCGGGATAACTCCACTGGCCACTCCTCAAATGGCTTTTAGAGGTGCTTCCTGGGGCAGTGCAGTACACTGTGTGGCACTGTCATTCAGTGTCTCCACTCTCTGCATGCAGACACTGAACTTATCTCATAGATATGCATTGATTCAATGCATCTCTATGAGGAGATGCTGATAGTCCAGGGCTGTGTTTGGCTTGTGCTGGCTCTGCACCTGGCCCACCTCCTTGGCAATCTCAACCAATCCAATACTTTCCAATAGGAAAGCATTGTGATTGGTTGACATAATCACTTCTGATGATGTCAGCCAAGCAGGCAGATCAATGGCAGAGCCAGCAACAGCAGGCTGGAATAAAGGTAAGATTTTACTATATTTTGGGTGGCTTGGGCAGATGGTGTTTTTAACACTGTTTCTGGCCCTATAGTGCTCATTTAATGGAATCACAGCATACTACAAATGAATTAACTTAAAGCAATGTAGTAAACAGCATGTAATTCGAGAAAGTCAAGGGATTTCGCATAGAAATCAGTGCATTTGACAATAAGATGAATTGTGCACAGTATTCTAATTAGTGTCCTTTGTGAGCACAGGTGAGTGGAAGTAATGAAAAGTAAGTGTAACCTCTCTTTTTTTAATAATTTATTTATATTCAAAATAATGGAATTTTCTGTTTTATTTAATTCTTTCCCCCCTTTTTGATACGAAACCACGACTGGATTTATTATGTGCCACAGTGCCTGGACTTTTATAGCTTGTTCCAGCCCTGTGTCTGGAAGTTACCTATTTAGGTTTATCTGTTTCTGTGGTGTATATGTTGAATCTCAGGGCCCGTCTCCAGGTTTAAGCTAAAGGGTTTGTTCATTGTGTTTACTCACCATGGAAGCATTATATCCCCACCCTTCTTCTATGAGGGTGTTGGAACTAGTTACAAGATAAGGAGGGAGCAGCTAGATTTGTACTAATTTCAGAATTGTATTTCCTGTCCATTCTGCTGGGAGGAGAGGCGCTAACTCATTCATTAACACTGCCAAAGTGAGAAAATTGTGGTAAGAATGGACACAATGTGCTTTTTTATTTTTTTTATAAAGCATTTAAAAATGGCTTTTTGTTATTTCATTATGTAGGAGTGCAAACATTGTTATGAACATGCTATCCCAGGCAACTAGAGACTGATTCAAATATTGGTTCAATAACATTACAACTAAATCTGTGTTACATAATAATGTGTCATTCGCTGGCACTGAATTTGTTTTTTAAAAATGGGAATTTCTATATATTTTTTTTGTGCTGAATTTAAAAATATGTCTGTATAAGACCTCCCCCCTGTCTCCCCCACTGCTTTGTATAGCGTCCCATTCCTCACTTCTGTTGTGCAGTGTTTGCAAAATTCTCCATGGCAACCAATTACAGTGCCTAACTAATAAGGAACTCCGTCCTAATAGGGCACTTTAAACCTGCCCACAAAGTATGTAAATAAAGTTTTGTTTAAAAAAAAAAAAAAAAAAACAATTATGGAAGTGATTTCATTCAACTGAAGGAAGTTGACAGTTTCCATGGTAACGAGTGCACTGTGTTTAATTAACCAGGAAGCATATAACACATGTTGGACTAAATATTGGCAAGTGAGCACAATGTAAGTATAATGTGTTCTGGGTAATGGTGGGAGGGACGTGTGCTTTATATAAATTAAGAATTACTGTTTGTTCCATAAAACAAACACATTACAAGAAGAGAAATAAACACTTTTCCTTTTATATAAGATATGAAAATGTGTTTACTAACATTAATTAGGTCAATTAAAGAGGTCTCTTGTAGTGAGTATGCTGATAGACAAGGTATGAATCAAACACTGTGAGCTAAGCTACTATCACACTGTTTTTAAACGTTTGTTTTTGACTGGGACCCAAATGGAATTCGCGTTATATATTTTTCAATATTAAACTTACATCACTGACTCATCCTTCGTTGGTCATATATTATATATTAATATTAATCCTGCAAACGTCTTTATTAGATATTTTCCCAGGATCAGGGAGATTTCAATGAAGGTAGGACTGCAATACTGTTACAGTAACCAATGTATCGTAGACAGTTGACCTGGAGCTTTTAAATATTATATGTCTACTCCAGACGTAGAGGACACACTGGGGACACATTTTTGTCTTTATGTGTGAAGATTGTCCTCATTTTTTATTTTACAAAAAGTGCAGGTTTTAAAATTGGCACTTTTATAAATTAACTTTGTTACACCCCATGGTTGTCATTTAGATAATCAGTCCTGTTACTTCCTGGTTTGGTTTGCTCAGTGGAGCTAAACTCAAGAGGCAGCAATTGCTCAGAGCAACTGCCTTGCAAAGACTTCTCGTTGAGCAGTATTGGGAAGTCTGTGATTGGACAGCCACAGAAAGTTTGGGCAGGGTTGGGAGGGGATGGCTTGCAAAGGCTGCAGACAAGA